GGCCCCGGAGGAAGGTTTTTGGAGGAGCGGCAATGGCGGAAGAAATTGGAGACTGTAATTATGGAGACGAAGGTTATGATGAGAATTTGGAGCCAAGAAATTTCCATTTTCAATCTGCAGAAGCAGCTCCAGTTTTTCTCTGGATGAAGAAGAAAGTTTGAATTCATGCAGAGATGATGAATGTTTAGCTTAACTTATATAGTTGGCCGTTGTGTGAGTTTATTGATACTATATATTTTTTAAAAAAATAAATAGAGAAAAAGTGGGCAGGCAGAAGCTGTTGTTCTTTTCTAATATTTTTTTATGACGAGTTTTGAAGAGTTCAACGTGTTGGGTGAAGCATCTTCCAACAAATGGATTTGCATCAACTCGACACCTGTGCGGTGCTCCGCTTAATAGACTTCAACAATTAAGTTAGTAATCAAAGCAAAAGTGGTAGATAACACCTTAATAAATTAGTGACGGTTTTTTCACTTATTTGGTGGTGGTGGTTCTTCTCTTCTATAGGTGTCCATGACCGACTAGGAAGGACATCCTGCACGTGGCGCAAACATACATGGATTATTTAAATTATGCTTCAAATTGTAATAAAATATAAAGTTTGAAATTTATCTCAAACTCAATTATGTGATCAAATCACTAAAATATATTCCAGTGTAAAGATTGAAATCATTTATTCAACCGATTTTATTTTAAATAATACCATATATTTTAGTGTCAACCTGACTCAATTAGTTAAAGTACATATCTTCGATCAAAATGTTGTGAGTTTGAATCCCATGTTATACTAAAATAATCATATAGTTTAGCCAACATAAACATAGCTCAACGGCTACGAAAAATTGTTCTTTCCCTAAAATTTGAATTCTCATCCTCGTATTTTTGTACTAAGAAAATTATATTTGTTGTACTAAAAAAACTATTTATTTTAAAAATATTTTCAAATTATATAATATTATTAAATCCCCTTATAAAATGTATACTATTTTCAATTAAATTTACTATTTTTCGTACCAAATGGATGCATATCTTAATGATAATAACTCAACAAAGCATTAGTTTGTATGAATTTTTTGTCACTTTGTTGGATACGAATGAGATGGATATTGATTTTTTTATTTTATTTTAAGAAAGCGATGGATATTGATTAAAGCCATTGTGATGTAGATAAAAGAAAACTATAAATGAGTTTTCATAATTATATAATGAATTTTTAAGTAATCTTAAATTAAATTTCAATTAATTTGGGGACCGAAAGCATTTTTTAAAATTAAAGATCAAAAGTAAGTGGTCCTTTGCTTATAAAACTTTATTAATTGTCTTGCCCAAATTGCTTTGTCGTGCTTAATAATATATTTGCTCGTATTCCTATCGTATCCCTATCGTATCTTTCTTATATTTGACTATTGAACCCACAATCTTTTGGTTGAGAATATATGTCTTAACCAGTTGAACTACTCAAGTTAGTAAATGGAATGACGAGTTGGTATATTAAAGGTCACCTGAACATGGCTTAACTGGTAAACAACTGATTAAGACACCTATTTTCAATTAAAAGATCGTAAGTTTGAATCTTTATCCACATATAAGGTTAAACGTGCATATCACATCCATGTATACATCTAAGCATTATTATGTTGAATAGGGTTTTTAGATGGAAAAATTAAGAGTTAAATGTGCCTGAAGTGTTTTGAAATTACGTTGTATTTTTAGAAGTGTGAATTTTTTTAGAATGGCTTTCTTACTCATAATTAAGGAGGTTTATTCTTAACCACTCTTGTTGTCTTTTTTTTTCTTAAGAGTATTATCATTCAAATAAAAGAGTGAAGGTTCAAATCTAAGCTTTTTAAAAAGGGTTAACTTAAATTATGTTAGATGTGCAAATATAAAAGTCACGACTTGCAAAAGTTAATCAATGTTCCTTTGAATTTATTGAAGAGTTTTATCAAGAGCTTACTATTTATTATTTGGAAAAAAATTCATTTATATCTCAAAATATATATATATTTTATTTTTTTTTGAGTTAAACAAATGTAGGGATAAAGATTGGCAAGGTAATGAATATTGATTGAGTTAGTCTCTACATTATGTTTGGATTGAAACCTCAATACATAGTTTTTAACTTTATATTTTGAAGTAATTGAAATATAGTTCAATGGATATGATAGAGGTGTTAATGGGTATGACTGGGTTGTATTGAAACACTTTTTAGATCCAACCTAATTGTTCGGGTTATAAATTTAATTTAATGCAAAGAATCCTTATTAAATAATGAATCCAACCTAACTCAGCTATGAAATAGGGATTAATAGATAGATGGTTTCTTTAGAAATCAAAATTACGTAAAAGGATGGAAAAGAAACAATTCCTAATTAGGTGGTACCTATAACACAAATTACTAATATATCCTTAGAATCCATCTCAATATTAAATAATTATTAAAATATAGAATTGGTAAATTGGGAGGTCAAATCCTTTAAAATGTGATAATGATATCTTCCATAATTAAAAAATCCTAAAACCAAAAAAACCATCCATTTTCAAAACTCACCCGTTCCTCGTTTTTCTTTTCTTCCTCCGACCGTCGATTTTCCTTCCTCCGACCCTCCATTCCTCTTCTCTGACCGTCCGTCGTTGTCTGTCTTCCTCTTCGGCCGACTCCGCTTTTCTTTGTCTCAAGAGCATTTCATCTCTGGCCGCCTTCGAAAGGAGATTTCCATCGGTTCTTATTCTCTGGTCATTTCTGAAAGCCTTCTTCTCAGGCCGACATCTGCCAGCCTTCATCTCTGGCCACCTCAACTTTTCTCCGTCGTCATAGCAGTTCATCTCCAGATTGAAAGGTTTGCATTCCAACGGATGTTTTCAATTTATGATTTCGTGTGAACTATTGTATATGTGAGGACATATAGTATAGTGATTTTATTAGGATATATCTTATAACTCAACTTGTATATATGCAGATGTATATTATAGTGATTTTGAACGTATACATGCAGATATATACTGTGATTTTGAATATGCAGATATATGTTTATTGAGACTTCAAAAATGTTTATGTGATTTTGAATTGTCCTCGAAGATTGAGCACAAATGTGGGAGTGAATTAAGGGAAAATCAATCTTTTTTGAATGAAAAAATTAAGGTTTTGAATGAGTGAATTAAGGGATTTGTTTTGAAAATTAGTATGGGGCCCCCAATAATTATAATAATTTATGGAATTCAATCTTTTATATTAAAAAAAACAAATAACTATAATAAATGTAAATGCAATAAATAAGGGTAAAATCGGAATTAAAATAAAATCTTACGTGCAGAAATGTAAAAGTGTAAAATAGAAAATTTTAGACAATAATATAAATAAGTTTCTAAAACAGCCATCCGAAAACATTATCTCTATGAAATATTTGGGTTGAGTTAGTTTAGGTCATTCATGTCACTCATTTAAAATATTGTATAACAAAAAAAGTAAATGTTAATATCTTAAACATTTATTGACATATTTTTAACATTTAATCACGATACGTAGGTCTATGGTGAAAGATTGTACCTTAAAAACTTAAAATTTTATTTTTAAAAGTGGTGGTAGAAGAAATCCTGCCTAATAAATTTTTGAATGAAATAAAATTAAAATAAATATATTCCATATAAAATTTGTTGATCACTAAAATAAATGATTTAAAAATTAGTAATAAGTACAGGTTGGTTCAATTCAACCCAAACTTATTTTAGGTGAACCTTTGAACCAACCTAATCCATAACATTTTTATTTACTTGAATCCAAATCAATTAGACAAGTTTATAACTCAACCAAAATTAGTTTGGGTTGAACCATTTTTTTAGGTTTGAAAATTTTCTGAACACTCTTAGATATGATACCTATCACCTTTCTTAAGGTTGAAAGAATCTCACCCTCGCATCGTTAAACTATATGTATATTTAATTTCATTTTTATGGAATTGAATTCTACCTAAGTTATAAAATTAATATCTTTATTTTGAAAAAAAAAAGAAAAAAGAAAGAAAGAAAGAAACCCCTCAAAACTAAATTAAAAATTGCTTAAGAACCAACAAAAACATTTTATTTTATAGGAAATGCTCAAACTCACCGTGACAATTACATTAAACATAAATAAAAGATAAATAGTTCTCATGTTTCGTAGCAAAATAATCGTATAAAACTATAAGAATGCCTATTGCTAATCACAAATTTCTTAAAGATGGATACTTAAATCCGAAGGCATTAATTTCATATATAAAAATTACTTTGTGTTGAAAGCGATTCTCACCGTACACGTGACACACGTCGATTGGATGATGAGAGTTGTACGTGGTATTTGTTCATAAACTTGAAGTTTCATCATTTCAGTTTTGTTTTATGCGGCCGAGCCGACGTCTTGCGTGATCGAGCCGACCAAACTTCATAATGTTTCTCTCTTATCTATTTAAATCAACCAACTAGCTTCACTTCGGCTTAGTCCCAGACTCCACGATAATACGTCGGGATTCACGACAACCTTAAAGAGCCGTTGAGGCATGATCGGGAATGTTGTCGGAGAAGTCACTTATAAGTAGATTCATTCACTCTATTTTCAGGTACGCGAATACTAAATTCTCTCTCAAGTGTAGTTCGGCCAGCTACTGACTTTAGCATTGGAGTGTGTTCAGGTCACCCGTTTCACTCATCCTTCGAGCAGTCCTCAGTCCGAGTCGAGCGTCGCAGAGTTGATCATTTTTCTGATCAAACACTTTGTAAAAGATAATTTATTTAGTATCCTAAGATTTATAGGCAATCAATCGTTGAACAAAATTACCAACATGAATTTAATTCAGCTATAATTTATGTCTCGAAAGTTCATGAATTCCAATCTTCAACCCAAGTGTTGTAAAAAAAAAAACGTTGAACCAAACTGTAAAAAAAAAAAAATCGTGGAACCAAAGAAAATTTATTTTTTCTCAAAATGTAACAAATATGTACATTTGGATGCGATGGGTAATGAAAGAATTTGGTTCAGGTTCACTCTCGAAGAAGCCCTCCACAGGCCGTAAAACGATGACGGCTGAAACTTGAGCAACCTCGAAAAAACCTCTCCCTCTATTTTCAATCCTGGAATCCGCCATTTCTTGAGTTCTTGTGGAGCTTCTATTTCCATCTCGAAGTGCGCCGCGTGGGAACCGGAAACCCTCCGGTATTTGTTAATTTATGTTCTTGTAATTTCGTTTTCTGGGCAACAAATGTGTTGAATGATTTCTACATTTTATGCATTTGATTCCGCGTAGATGTGTGATTGAAGTTTAGGCCAAACAAAATGGTGAACAAATCGCAAGCATTTTCTTGGTCCCGTCTCATTCTCAGCCAGGTCGTGCAAAACCCTACTAAAACCCCACTGCATATTACCCGGAATATCTCCAATTTGCGGCGGTTCCCGTTCGAGGAGATACCCAAGTTCTCCTTTTCAGGGGCGGCTCGTTACTCCACCGCTTCGGCCAGAGTTGTGCAGGATCTTCTCGCTGAGGTGGAGAAAGAGAAGCAGAGAGAAAGGGAGCAGCGGAGAAGGGCCGGTCTCGATACTAAGGATATTGACGATGAGGATCAGGAGGATTATATGGGTGTTGGGCCATTGATAGAGAAGCTCGAGAAGGAAAAGCTAAAGGATACTGGGGACTTGAACGCGTATGAAGAGCCCACTGATTCTGATAGTGATGAAGATGACGAAAGATTCAGCCCTGAATCTGTCAAAGAGAGGTTTGATAAGTTTGAGAGGAAATTCAAGAGGCACGAGGAATTGCTCAAGCACTTCACTGAGTCTGGTATGACCATTTGTATTGGAGATTGTTTCCATTTTATACTTATATTTTTCGTCTATGGAAGGATTTCGGGAATTCGTAGCGGTTAAAACTGTTGTAGGACTCCAGATATAGCTAGTCTCATTCTCTATTTTTTGTTTTTTCGTCCTTTGATACTTGATACAATAGATTAACAGGCAGCTTAAACTTTTCATAACGTTCTCCATGCATGTAACGAAACATGAACATATGTATCAGAAATGTCGGAAGAAATCAGCAGTTGTTAACCATTACCATTATTCGATCTTAACATAGGAAGTTGAATGCATGTATTTAATTTATTCGGAGCTATTAGAGCGGGATCCACTTTTTAGGGAATATGGGTTGAAGCAATAACAAGAATCTTTGAGTGGAACGAGAATATCTCGATAACCTAAGTCCGCTCACTGTCTCTTATTTTCTGTTCTCATCACCAAAAGAAAGTGCATTTGAACAAACTTTTAATTTTTGTATATTTTGGACCCGTGTTAAAATCTGCCCACATCTCCAACATGTTTTTTACAGAAAACATGGATGATGCTTTCAAATGGATGAATAAAATTGACAAGTTTGAGCAAAAGCACTTCGGGCTTCGTCCTGAATATCGAGTAATTGGTGAATTAATGAATCGCTTGAAAGTAGCAGAGGGCAAGGAAAAGTTCATTCTTCAACAAAAGTTGAATAGGGCTATGAGATTAGTGGAGTGGAAGGAAGCTTATGATCCAAACAATCCTGCCAACTATGGAGTAATTCAACAAGAACAAGTAGGATCATCAGTTGATCTCCTGGAGCAATCAGGATTTGCAAAAGAGAAGCAAATCATACAAGGAGCTGATGATGATGATGAGGAAGAGTTTGATGACATGAAAGAAAGGGATGATATTCTACTGGAGAAGCTTAATGCTATCGATAAGAAACTTGAAGAGAAGCTAGCAGAGCTTGATCATACTTTTGGAAAGAAAGGGAAGGTTTTAGAAGAAGAGATTCGAGATCTTGCAGAGGAGAGAAATTCTTTAACTGAGAAGAAAAGAAGACCCCTTTATCGAAAAGTAAGTTAACCCACTTTGTCTTCCCCTGTCTTTTTTTGGCAATTTATAGTTTTCAACTAAGTTTCTGGATTGAATGGTAGCTAAATTTTTCTTTGTTATCTAATTTCATTGTCCTGCACAAGTATCTGAAGGTCTAAGTTGTCAATTTTGCTTATTCCCTAGTATCTGACAGAACTGTTAGATTTTGGGGAGTTTATGTTTATTTTTCTTAGATATTTATGTTGTATGTATTTTTTTGCTAAGGTTAAAGCAAAATATTTGTAAACAGTTTAAAAAGGACCTTCTTGATTTCTGATTTGAGGCCTCTGGCATTTTTTCTGACACAGAAAATTCTTTTGTAATTACTAATTACAGCCTCTCTATGATTTTGCAAGATTGGAGCTTATGTAGTTCCTGGGAGGGGAATCCCTCTTCCCCCTGCCCTTAGTCTGTTGCTTCCTTTTGTGCTTTTAATCAAAGGTTTCTTATAAAAAAAAAAGGCATTTTTTCTGACGTTGTTCCTTTACCATGTTTTGAAAAAGACAAAAATAAAAGAGCCATGTTTCTGGCAACGAATATGGTTTAATACTGAAAATGTTCAACTAAAGTGTAACTTCTCATTATTTGTAATTAAACTAGATTATTGCTTAACATTTTTATAATTGCATTCAGCAAACTTATAAGTGGCTCCATGGAGACGCATGGGAAGTACGCTTTTGTTTATGGGAGCAACCGGTTATTCTTGAAAGTATCATTGATCTAGAAATCTGGAGACATTTTATCATAGACAGGTTTAATAAGATGCAATTGTGATGCATTTTGATAGTATATAATGTGGGTGAATCTCATCTTTTAGTTTTCATCGTTACTTTCTCGAAATGAGATTACAAATTTTCCTTGTCTGTATCATATAATTACACTTCTATAATTATAGTTTATGAAATTTTTCGTATTTCATTTTTTTAAAATATTAATTCCAATGGTTACAAAATGATGGCATGGCAGGGCTTTGATGTGAAATTAATTGATGTGAACAGAACTTGTAAAGTTACAAAGGTATGCAACCACCCTTCTAAATATTACTATCCAAATAAATATTTATTTGATGATTGTAAGCTTTGTACAATCTAGGGTGGACAAGTTGTCAAATACACTGCTCTCTTGGCTTGTGGGAACTATCATGGAATTGTTGGTTATGCAAAAGCCAAAGGACCTGCAGTACCGATTGCTTTACAAAAGGCATGTTCTTGTGCTATTAGCAGACTCGGTTGTAATTCCTCATTATTTTTTGTTTTATTGAAATTTGAAATTTTAATACGATACTTTTAAGTTCTAGTTATAGAATAATACAGAGTGAAAATTTAATTTTTAAGGTATACTAGGAGTCTTATAAAAAAGGTATGCTATGAGTATGTTTTGCTTGAGTTGGTTTGGAAAATATTTAGCTAGGTTTAAATTGAAATCCAGTTGTCAATAGATGGAAGCCTGTGGATTCATCTATGTAAATGAGATAGAAATTGAATATGTTGTGTAGCCAAAGTGAGAGATACAAAAAGTTGTTTGTCTTTTCTTTTTTTCTCTCACTCCTCTAGGAGTTTGTAGTTGTTGAATTGAAACCATGTAAAATTTTGAAATAGGCTTCTTTTAACTTCCCTTGTAAAAAGAACATTTTTGACATCCTACTATTGCCTCGTAAAAAAAGACATCCTACTAATCATTAAAAAAAAAAAGACATCCTAAATTCCAATAATGCCATTTATATATTGTTGAGGTACGCATCATATTAGATGACTTTTGTAGTCTATCTCATAGTCTCATATGTGAGTAAGATTATGGCTATAGTCTATCTCATAGTTAAGTCTTATCTTCTATACTCTTTTGGAGTCCTCTTGCTGCCCAAATTCTTATTAGTGGTAGTCGTCTTCATTGGCTTCTTGACAGAGGCAAGGAAGAAGGGCTAAATAGAAGGATCTAAGGTTAGTAAGATGAAACTCATATCACTCATCTAAACTTTGATGAAAGGAAAGCTGGGAGATTTGTAATCAATGTAACTTCGTCAGAGTTTTTGAAGCCTTCTTGGAAGTTGGGCCTTTGCAGGGAATTTCTCAAGACCCTTTAATCCAGTAATGGACAAAGGTATTTTAGTGGAGGATGCTGGAGTAATTCTGAGAATTTCTAGTCTTTAACATTTAGGGAGGGACTTTGATGACAGCAAGCTGTCTGATTGGAAGTCTCTTATGTAGTCTTTTGGAAGATCCACTCCTTCCCTTGGCAGGGATACCAAAGTACGGATCGTTGAGAAATTCAGGCCATTCCCTGTTAATTCTCTGCTCATTCTTTATGCAATGTTCTCTTTGGGCTCTTTACTTTCTATAATTGTGCTAGGGAAAGTGAGTATCTTTTCCTCTCTTGTCCTTTTGTTTACAGATTTTGGGTTTAGTTGGCAAATTTTTTATTTCCATCTCCCTTTGTCTCAGAGGGTGAAGGGTTGATTGATCCTTAGCTTTTGTGGTGACAGTTCGAAGGATAAAGTTAAAGTTTTGTGGATTAATGGCTTTTGTGCAGTGTTTCGGATGAAACTAATTATTATCCAAGATAATGATTTTGAACCCCAGCTCCCATTTTTCCACTGGTACAACAATGAAAGTTTCTTCCTGTTTTTGCCCATCCAGAACACTTCCATATATCCTCCCTACCGTTTGCTGATTTTTACACCCAACAAGTCCCATTTTCATCTCATCCTTTCTGAAGAACTTTCGATTTGAGGGGCACTTTAAAGAATCCTTAAAGTTCTTTCCATCCATTCTAATATTTTGCATTCAAAAAGGATTGATACAACTAACCTTTTTCCTACCTCCTGAATGCAAAATTTCTTATTTTGTCGAAGTTACTATTGGAATCCACTCTGGAGTTCTTACTCTCAATACTACATGTTTTCTTTGTTTCTGTCCTCATACCAATCATAACGGCTACCTTGTACAACTTTCTGAAAATTAAAAACTTGCTGGAAATTTTGAGGCTTTGGGGGTGGGGGAACTTAATGCCTTTTAGTTGTGGAGATTTGGAGAGATCTTGGGAGGAGGTTTGGTTGCTAACTAGATTTAATTCTTCTATTTGCGTGTCGGTCTCTAAGCATTTTTGAAATTACCCCTTAGGTCTTATTATTATGAATTGGAGTCCTTTTATATGCCTAGTTGTTTCACTCCTTGTGCTGTTTTTTTATGCTCTTTGTCTTTCGATTGTTGTTTTGTGTTCTTTTCTTTCATCAAGAAGAAAGCTTGGTTTCTCATCAGACAAAAAAATGACTTTAGTTTTGTCCGCAAGGAAGATAGAGAACAAAATTCATAAAGAGAGGAAGCTAGTCTTATCCAATAGGGGAAGCTGATCCCTAATTCAAGCTACTTTCTCTCACATGCCTATTTACTGCTACTCTTTTTGGTCCTCCAAAAAGGGTGTGAACAATATTGACAAAATTGTAGAGGTTCCCCCATCACTGTTATTGTAATTTGTTATTGTACTTGATCATATTAAGAATTTAATTATTCGCTTGTACTGTTTTTATCTTGAGCATTATTATTTGTTGACATGAAAATTAATCCTTCAGAAAGAACATCAGTTCCTTGAATTTGAATGTTGAAGTAGCATATCCTTGTTAACAGAGAGCCTTGGTGTCACAATTTGCACTGTTTTTTAGAACTTTTCAGTTCTCATTATTAATGTGTATATTATTTTTTAATATATGATACTCCTGAGCAGGCATATGAGAAATGCTTCCAAAATCTTCATTATGTGGAACGCCATGAGGAGCACACAATTGCACATGCAGTACAGACGGCATACAAAAAAACAAAGGTATTCAACTTTTTCTAATTTTATTTTCCTACATCAGAGGCTCTCTGTGCTCTTATCCTGGATGAGGGTCTCTCTGCCCCTGGTAAACACCATACAGGCAAAATACCAGCGGGGGACGAGGCCGATTGGTTGTATCAACACACATGTACCCGCTGCCCGACCACAACTGCTTTTTGTTTTAGTTTTGAATGATCTAGATTCATTCAGTCTAGCAAAAAACCTTTTGCGTACCTTTCATTTGATAGAAACTTGTTGTTCCTTTCTTGAGGTATATCTTTGGCCAGCATCAACCTGTACAGGCATGAAAGCTGGGAAAACTGTTCAAACTGTTTTGAATCTGGCCGGCTTTAAAAATGTCAAATCTAAGGTAATATTGTTCCTGACCCTTATTCAGGAGGTAAATAGAAGGTGTGTGTTCTCTTTGCTCCTCCACTGTCTCTAACTTGTGTTCAAATAATAGGTCGTTGGCTCAAGGAACCCCCACAACACTCTGAAGGCCCTCTTCAAAGCGCTGAATGCAGTAAGTTGCCATTGAATTGATATGATTACCTATCTTTATCTTCCAATTCTACATAAAGAAAATCATATTTTGCTTACATTTTTAATATACGTCCTATTTTCCAGATTGAAACTCCAAAGGATATTCAAGAAAAGTTTGGGCGGACTGTTGTCGAGAAGTACTTGCTATGATAGGAGGTTCTTTTTTCTTCTTTCCCGTCTTTTTTATTTATTCAGGTCGAGTCTATTTTTGCTGTTTCTAACTCAAAAGGCATTGATTTTCAATTAGATGTATAAAAGAGAATTTTGGTACATTTAACCTGAGAAGCACCACTGTAACTTGTGTTCAAGTTTTCATTATCTCCCTTTTACATCAATAATCAATAGAAACATCATTTTCAGTACTTCCTGTTGATTCTCTCCCCTTTTATTTCTTCCATGTTGCCTTCGCATGCATAGTAGACAGGCGCTCTAGTAGAACCTTTATTCACCTTTATTTAAACTCGAATAGTGATTTCATCCATAAATCATGTAGGGTCCATTTGGTAACGTTCCCGTTTCTTGTTTCTGATTTCTTTTTTTTAATAAAGAAAAATAGAATTGTATAGCCACCAATATCCATAGATCAGAATGATAAAGGTAACAAATTGGAAATGGAAACAAGAAACTTGTTTTTTATTTTTTATTTCTTTTATTTCTAAGATTTCTATAAAATTTTGAGAATGTTTCTAAAAAAATGAGAAACATAAATAAATGTCAAATTCTTAGATTTCTTAATAAAATTAGAAACGAAAAATAAAAACAAGAACGTTAACAAACGAGCCTATACTGAATCAATAAATCACGAAGAGAAAATGATAGGATATAAAGCCGAGTAATACGAAAAACAGCCCAAAACAAATGGTAAAAATCTATATAAAAAGAGCTCCAACTATTCAAAATAGGAAGGGAAAGTATGATTACAAAAAAATGTGAAGTAACAAGCACAGGAGAGTTGTTGAACCCAACAGAAGATGAAATCTTCCCACACAATGTCTCTATCCCCTATTTCAATCGAGTCAAATGTACCATAAGGAACCTTTAAAAATCTTCCTTTTTCTCTCGAGTCAAATGCACTAGAAGGAACTTTTGAAGACCTTCCTACTTCTCTCGAGTCAAATGTGTCACAAGAAGCATTTAAAAATTCTCATATTTCTCTCGAGTCAAATGTACAAGGAACCAAACACAAACGCATCACAATTTGAATCTTAAATTTAGCCAAAATTTGAATGTTAAAATTTAACCTAGCAAACCCAATAAATCATGTTAAATTGAACTAACATAACATTCAAAAAGGTTGGAAGTACTCGGGTTTGGTCATGAAGTCAAAGGGGCAAAGAAACAATTAAACTTACTAGCAAAATTTCAAAACCTAACTAAAAAAATCCGACATAACCAATAGAACCTATATTCAGGAATAGTAGTCCAACCACAGGTTGATCTTTTAAAAATAGAAAATTTATGAAGGACATTAATTTTCACCACTTAGTTATATGGGGTTCAATTTTGATAGAATTAAAATTTTAGATTCAATTTGACTTATTGATTTATGGCTATGTTTGGGATTGCTATTGGCAAGACCTTCCCACCTATCATTTTTGGAGTGATATTTAAGTATTTTTAGAAAAAGTCAAAAGCACTTAGATTGTTATGTGAAGAAACATTAATAGAGTGCTTTTGATTTGACCCTAATAACTCACTAAAGTGATCATAATTATTTCTTGATAAAATGACTTATTTTAAAAACATTCCCAAACACACTTTTTAAGTGCGAGTAAAAATTCACTACATCCTATGATTAGAGGCATAAACATGTCGACCGGGGTTGAGTTTTGGCCAAAACTGATGTCGAACCAACACGAAAAGAGATCAAAATCAATTTTTTCAAAACCAAATAGACCCCAACTCAAGCTAACCAATATCAAACCAGATTGATCGGAATTTGGTTAGTTTCATCAGCTGTTTTGTTTTCAGCTTGCCTACTTGTGATTTGTTTTTCCCATTCAAACTAATATACAATCTTGTTGTGAAGATGTGTGTAAAGTTGTACGATCCAGAGAATCTATTTGGTAGAGCATGATGTGTAAAGTGAAATTTTTTGAGGAATTTGATCTTAGTTAGTGGTTGTCTATTTCCTTTTGAAGAATATTATGTGTCTGTGTGGGAACAGAGTATTAATATAACTTAGCTTTAACTTTATGCCATGGTATCTGTGAGTTGGATGAGTTTTGAGATCAACAGATGTGTTGAAATGGAATTAACATTCACAGGGATTTGTATTACTCTTATGCTCACACTTGATTCCTTCTTCTGCCATTCCCTAGAGTTGAATTCTTTGTTCTTCTGGCATTTTTCTTGGGAGTTTCCGTTAAAGTACTTTTCTTTAGACTTTTCTTTTTCGAGTAAAGTAAATTGGGTGTACGAGAGTTTGAACCTCGGACCTCAAAAAAAGGAGTAGGTGCCAATTGCTACTGAGTTATGCTTGTGTTGGCATAATCTTGTCAGATCCGAACGTAGGGCTACTTTATTTGTTTGTCATATCTTTGTCAGATGTTTATAGAATTATTATAGCTGGTTGGTCTAGTAATTAGGGGGTGGCCGTTCCGTCGCTTGGGATTTGGAACTTTCAGAATTGTATAATCTATACTTTTCATTGGCTAAGTTCAAATGAGCTTTTGGCAGTAGGTTAGATTAGTAAATATATAGATTTCTGAAGGAAATATAAAGTAAACTGGTAGAATTTAAATGTGGTTACTATTTGTTTTTTGTTAGTGATATGTTATAAATAATAAATAATAGAGAATAATTAATCTAATTTATATGATTGGGAAAGAAATCGTAATTAATATAAGTGTGGTTGGAGGTATTGGAACTCATAGTTTTTTTTTTAATTTTTTAGTACAAGTTTTCTTTCTTTTCATGTATATTGTGCCTTAAATTTTTTTTTTACAGCATATTGATTTCATTAAATTTTATTTTCCTATATTATTAAATATAATTAAAACAAAGTAATGTGTATTATACGTGTTAATTGACATTAATGATATCCAATAGTATGCACGATTCTAAGAATTGAAGTTTTTATAATAATTATTATCTTTTTAGAGGTTTGATAATTATATATTTTCGGATTATACGATACGTTTTTCCTTTTCCTTTTTAAATTTTACATCTTCTATTCCACGTATGTCCAAAAGATAAACCTGACTCCTGTGCAAAATAATAATAATAATAATAATAAATAATAATAATAATAATAAGAAGAAGAAAAAACGATAAATATGACTACTTTTATAAATTTTAATTTTAATTCATTATTGACTTTTTTTTTAATAATTTGCTAGAAAAGTATCTATACACTTAATAGCTCTTTTTCACTTTTTTGCTTTATTCTCTTCGACTGATTCTTAGAGTCACAGGCGTAAAGTATTATCAATTATTCAATTATATCTAAAATAACAATATTAATTAATTAAATCTCAAATATTTAATTTTTACATTCACTATGGCATCAATAAAAGTTCACATTGAACAAAAACAATTAATTCTAATAAGAATTTAATTAACTTTACAATATCCCTTTCAACAAAATATATATATATATATATATATATATATATATATTAATAAGAGAAAATAATAATAACTTTACAATATATTTTTGTCCTTGTAAATGAATTTATTAGGCCTACCCCTATTCATTACTGATGTCACGTTATCCATTATTAGCTTAATTAATAATCAAGATTTGCTAATTTTAGGTTGGGTTCAAATCCATAAGTTCTATATTTGTTGTACTAAAATAAAATAAAATAAATAGTTGAGATTTATAATATACTCATGATGATTTCACAATAAATATTTTTGTAGTAAAACAAATTATTGTTTGATTTTGATATTTTACATTTTTTGAATGATAATATTTATATAATAAATATTTCTAGAGTTAGAAAGATCATTTAAGTGAAAATAATTGAAATTAACAAAAATTATGAAAATGAAAACAATAAAATGTCAAAAAAGTGAAATAAGTGAGACAAATTGTGTAAGTTAATGAGATAAACATGTGCAAGATTAATAAGGGAAAGAAGGTGTGTGAAATGATAAAGTAAATATCAATTGCTTCCTTGAAAGTTAGGTTTTTTAATTATAGCCCAACATAAATATTTGGAATAAAAGCGTTTTAAATAATTTAAAAAAAAATCTATTATTCTTAAGAAAATATTAAAGCATCGTATGTAGCTAGGTAAAATAAATGAAGCGTTATTTCTAATTTTTGTCCCTCAATTTTTTATGTTTTCTATTTTGGTTTGAAATTTTAAAATATTTATTTTAGGTTTTTCTTTATGATTTCTTTTATTTTAAATTTTGGACTCAAAATAAAATGTTATTTTAGTCCTTAATGCTATTTTATCGTTGATTTTAATAAATAGATGGCACGTATGATTTTGAATATGTATAATAATGTATTGGTGTGGTGCATGGTTCTAAATATCTATCAGCAACATCGATATGAGAGGTGAATCGACATTTCTATCATGGTATAAGAAAATTGACAAAATATGAAAAATATCAACAAAATGTCACTAATATATATAAACACACACATACACATACACGCATAATATTAATTATTTTTAATTAATTTATAAATAGGAAAATATTTATTTGTTCATTTAAATATTTTTTACGATTTTTTAATTTTTCTAACTTTTATAGAAATATCTATCGACATCGACATTTTATCGATATTTTCATTTCCATCGACATCGACATTTAAAACTTTGGTGTGATGTCAGTAAATACTAAAGCCATAATAATAAAATTGTTTAGAAATTAAAAAACAATAAATAAAAAAAGAAATATTTTAGAATAGGAATATTAAAATAACACTTTACCTTTCTATTTTATTTCAACCAAAAGTCATTTTATTTTTATTTACACAGCTGGCCGGTCAGAACAAAGTACTTTCAGCTTTTCCTTTCTTTTTCTTTTTCCTAATAAAATGATAAAAAGTAAAATAAGCTTAAATTAAAGTTTATTCTCTAGTTTTCAAATTTGTATGTAGTTGGTTATTTAAGCCTTAAAAATCATCTARTAATCTCTAAATTTTTTATTTTGTAGGTATAATCTTTTAACATTAGAGTATCTATTAAATTTGAATTTTTAATTTTGTGTTTAATATATCCTCAATTTATTTGACATTTTTAAAGTTAACAAATTTATTTWAAAAAAATTTTAAAGCCTAATATCATAAATTTTTAATTATATGTTTAATAGTCCATGAATTTAAAAAATTTGAAAAAAGTCAATATATCCCTAATTAAAAATTTAGGGATCTAAAAAATTCAAAGATCTGTACTAAAAAGAAAAAAAAATCAAGATTTATTAAATATTTTCTTAATTCATAAATTTACTAGACACAAATTTAAAACTTTATGGACCAAAATTTATAATTTAGGTTAAAATATTATTTTGGTTTTTATACTTTTAGTTTTTGTTCATTTTCGATCAAGTACTTTAAACTCCTGTCTATTTTAGTCCCAAAACTTAAAAAAAACGATCGTTGTAGTTATTTCATTTTATTTATTTTTGTATCTCATTTTCTCACCCACAATTTCAATATGACACTATACTCAATATACTTCTTCAAATGTTGCTAGAACTATATTAAAGAATTTCCACAGTGTATATAATTTAAAAATTTTACAAACAGAAATGAAATAATCATTTTTTAAAATTACAAAAAGTTAGAAGTAAAAAATCAAAATAAAAATTCCAACAGTAGAAGGACTAGAATATTGTTTAAGAAAAAAGTATTTTAACCAAAATTCGTACAAAGAATCAAAATAGTATTTTAGTTTTTAATAAATAGTTTAACTTTTTATCTATTTATTATGTTGGCTTACTGGACAAGTAAAGGTGCAGCCAAAAAGAAAAGAAAAAAAGGAAAAGGAAAAAATCACCACGTGTCTGTACACAGCATCAGCTTCCGAAAAGCGAGAGATGGAATAAGACACCTAAAATCGCCACCACCACCACCACCTCCGCCGCCGTCTCCTCCGCCACCGCTGAATCTCTCCCAAAAGCCATGCCAATCCCAGCGCCCTCCTTTCTCTGAAGATTCCGCCTCGATTTCCTTCAATTTTTCGCATCCAATTCCCTTTTCTCACTCTCTACGATGGCGGTCTCNTCCGGAAGGTTCTCGGTTTGGGGTATTGGGTTCAGGGTTTCCGTTGCTTCCCATGGATGGCGGTTAACTTCTTCCTCAAGGACGGCCTCAATGTCGCCCCTTCCACTCTCCAGCTCCTTCAGAACTCCGCCAATCTTCCCATGGTCGCTAAGCCTCTCTACGGAATTCTCTCTGATGCCGTCTATATTTCCGGCCAACATCGCATCCCTTACATCGCCATTGGAGGTAGGTTCCTTGCGTTGTTTGAATCTCTGTTTCGGTTCTTTATGTTTGATTATGGAAGCATCGTTTTCTCCTTTCGTCGATTGTGTTTCTGGAGATCTGGAAAATGTTCCGCTCCGGATTAAGTTGAATTATGGTATTTCTTTTGAAATCATCTTCGGATCGCGGCTTGAACAATTTTAATTAGGGAATTTTGATGAAGGAACACTGCAGAGTGATGGTGTACAATTCCTGAGGCCACTCTTTAATTACTTTTTTTTTTCTCCACTCTGTTCTGGATTAGAGTGCTATATTATGAATCATATCCAAATGAATAGATGGTATCCTATAATGAAACATAAATCTTAATAAGCATCATAATCTTTGACGTTTATCAATATTTGTTTTTTGTTAACGAATTCTTATCTTAGGCAGTGGAAGTTGTTTCTGAGGGAAAAATTTATGCTTTCAATAGGTTATCATACCTGCAGAACTTCCTTTAAAATAAGTTCCAACAACAGATTTGTATTACTTGTTAGAGAAGTGTTATGTTTAAAGCGTGTTTAGGAGTGCTCATAAAATAACTTTTAAGTTATTTAGTGGCTACATATAACCATTTTGTTTTTAGTGTTCTGTTTTTTTTCTAAAATTACACTTGTTTTTGTACAATTTCATTAGTAAGTTTTTCACTCTCTTGAAAACATATTTCAAATTCTTAGCCAAATTTCAAAAACAAAAACAAAATTGTGAAGACTACCCTTTTTTTTCTCTTGTTTTCAAAATTTGGCCTGTTTTGAAAATATTTACAAAAGTTATATAACAAAATAAAGGAACACATATTTGAAAGACCTTAATTTTGTAAGACAAAATAAAAAACGAAATGGTTATCCAAGGGGGCTTTAGTAAAAAGTGATGAGTTGGTTCTATACTCTTGAAAGTGTTCTTGACTATGGAGAGTTTCTTGGTCAAGCACTTGGGCTAAAAACACTTCCTTAAGGTGATTTTGACTTTTCTCGACTTTTATGTTAATTTCAAACCTGATGATTTTGGGAGGGAGGTGGTTTTCCACCTTATTCATTTATAAAATAATATTTTTGCATTAGAAAAAGAAAAACAAGGTGCTAAATGCAAATAAATTCTGCCTTTTGGGTAAGCGAGGTCTCAAACAGAGGTGGATAGAAGGCAGCCTTCTTTCACTATCTTGGGAAGTCAGCTTATAATAACCTGTCGGCTGAAGTGATTTCTATACATTGTCTGTTCTATCAGCTTTCTTATTAATTCTTCTGCATAATTTCTTTGGTTAATTATTGACTCCCCATGATCATACATGATTTAGATGTGCACTTCACTGCTATACATATGAGTTTCTGGAGAAATGAGTGGGTAATACTATTGATATGTATTGGAATGGTGCAGCCATGCAGGTTTAGTAATTAAAAGATGATAGAACTATACTTAATGCGATGGCTAACTTATGCGCTCGAGCGTTTGGGAGCTAGGGGCCCGGTGAACAATTTGAGTCGTTTATCAATTTGTTTAATCCTTTAATATGTAGGATATTTTAGTCTCGAACTTGTTTGTTGTGATTTTTCTGAAATTATTTATTCTTCTTATGCTTTATGTTGATGCAGCTTTCCTACAAGCAGTTTCATGGCTCCCCATAGCAATTATGTCACCATCAAGTATTTCAGTTTTCACCATTAGCATATATCTTCTCCTCAGCAACCTTGGTGCTTCAATAGCAGAGGTTGCCAATGACGCCATTGTTGCAGAGGCAGGAAAGCAGCCTGCATCTTCCAAGAAGTCTCTAGCATCCTCCTCGGGTGAGCTCCAGGCATTTGTCTGGGTAGCATCCTCTGCTGGTGGGATTATTGGAAACCTTCTCGGAGGCATTGCTATCGATAGGTTCTCACCCCAAACAATGTTCATGTTCTTTGGCCTTCTCCTTTCGCTGCAATCTCTTTTAACCATCATCGTTCGTGAACCCTCTCTGAATCTGCCTAAGAGCTCAGCCAATGCTGGTATAAAGATACAGCTATTGGAACTCTTAGCCGTGCTAAAAAAACCCGAAATTGCTTATTCCGTAACATGGTTTGCTGCATCTTATTCCATAATACCTGCACTGACTGGCACCATGTTCTTTTACCAGACAGACCATTTGAAAATTGAGTCATCTGTTTTGGGTATCTCTAAGGTTTTTGGCCAAGCAGCTCTGCTGTTATGGGGCGTGATTTACAATCGTCGTTTAAAGTCGATCCCCTCTAGGAAACTTATTTCAAGTATCCAGGTTTTAATGGCGGTATTTATGTTCTCGGACGTGCTGTTCGTGAAGGGAATCTATTGCGATATGGGGTTGCCCGACTATGTTTATGTTGTTTTGTTCTCTGGACTTTCAGAGGTTCTGCTTTTCTTCAAGATGTTGCCATTCAGTGTTCTGATAGCTCAGCTCTGCCCGCCAGGATGTGAGGGCTCTCTGATGGCGTTCGTAATGTCTGCCATCGCCCTCGCATTCATAGTGAGCGGATGTCTCGGTGTGGCGCTTGCATCTTATGTTGGTGTCACGGCAAATGATTTTTCTGGCCTTCCTCGCGGTCTTCTAATACAGGCAGTCTGTACTCTTCTGCCATTGTGCTGTTCATGGTGCATCCCCGACGATGTCAAAGCCAAAGCCAAAGCCAAAACCAAAGGTAAGAGAAAAGACTCGAAAAAGCAGCAGTAGCGCCATCGACGAATGGTTAGTGAATTCAAATATTTATATATCGCTCGATAACAAGTTTGTTTCAAGTTTTTTATTTTTAAAAATTAAGCTTCTAAAACATTTTTGAAATCTGAGTCAAATTTCAAGAAAAAGAATACAAAATTGGTTTTTTTAGTTTCTAAAATTTGACTTGGATTTAAAAGGAAATAAATGAGTATAATTTTTTAAAATAGAAAACAAAAAACAAAAATGTTATTGAACAGATTCTTAGCATTCAGATTTTTTAATTTCTTTGGTGATCCTATGTTATAAGAGCTATATATAATTAATTATAAGGTAGTAGAGCTTAGAAATTTACTGTAAGATTTTTCAAGATGAGCCATTTAATGTACGGATGCTGTAATTTAATTCGTGCATTTCATGTAGCTTATAATATTTGGTGATTTATTATTATGCCATTTTTTTCTTTTATATTCTGGTGATTGGGTTTTTAGTCGCTATAAATTTAAGGAAAATTGCTTAATTTATTTCAATTTTTTTCCATCATAAAATTTTACCAGTGTAAATATTCAAATTACTTACCAGAAAAAATTATAGTACATCTGTAAATGCGTTGTTATCGATTCTATTTCGAATCGTTTTTGGTGCACATTTTTTACCCATTTTTTAGACGGAACAGATTATTAATATAAAAGTGTAAAAATTTTCTGCCCACATTATAAAAATTCAGTATAAAGTAAATGTAATATTCATGGATTCAACCATGAGGAGGGAGGGAGAGAGTGAGTGTAAAAAGTAAATGTATAAAAAGGAAATTTTGTCATTTTAGCGTAATAAAAATATATATTGAAATAATTATATTATCTCATCATTGTTAATATTATAATATTAATAAAAGATAGTTTACAAAATAAGCTATTTGTTACTATGAGTAACAGGAAAAGTATTCCCGATAATCGTTGAACATAAATATAAATAAACTTTAAACTTTAAAATTTAAATACTATTTTGGATTTTGGTTTATGGATTTTGACATCGCTATAATTTATTATATTTTAAAATCTTTTTGCCACATCAATTAAAAATATTATAAAAAAATAACGTTTATTACGTCAACATAGAATTTGATTAAAGCTATCACGTTATCTATAAGTAATGGAAAGGTGTGATAATTGGGATTCAAACATATTCATAGTATTAATAATTTGGACAAAATACACTTTTGGTCCCCTGAGGTTTGAGATAGATGTCTAATTGCGGACACTTTTGTCCTTGAGGTTTAAAGTAGGTGTCAACTTGGTCCTTAAAGTTCTTAAATAAACACTTTTGGTCTCTAAAGTTTGAGAAATAGTTATAAATGATCCCTGATTTTTTTTACTGTTAATTAACTAATATTATAACGACGTGACAAATTGTAATTAAATTGTTTATAGTAGTTGCTGATGTGACAAATTATATCAATTAAATGATATATGTCCGGTATGAATGGCAGACGGTGGCGGCAAAAGTTAAAAAGGGTAAGAGAAAGGAGAGGAAAAGATGAGGACTAGGTCAGTCTGGTTGGTTCTTTGCGCCTAGTTTTGGTGTAGCAGCTATATTTCGATTCATCCTCTTTTTCCAAGGGTTTCATAATTGGACATTGAACCCATTTCATATGATGGGAGTTGCCGGTGTATTGGGCGCTGCTCTGCTATGCGCTATTCATGGTGCTACCGTAGAAAATACCTTATTTGAAGATGGTGATGGTGCAAATACATTCCGTGCTTTTAACCCAACTCAAGCTGAAGAAACTTATTCAATGGTCACTGCTAACCGCTTTTGGTCCCTACACATATATTATTTAATTAATATAATTTGTCACATCAGCAACTACAATAAACAATTTAATTGCAATTTGTCACGGTCATTTTAATATTAGTTAATTAACAATAAAAGAAGGACATATTTCTCAAACTTCAAGGATTAAAAGTATTCATTTTAAAACATGGACCAAGTTGACACCTACTTTAAACCTTAAGATCAAAAGTGTATATTTTGAAACTTCAGTGACTAATTAGACACCTACTTCAAACCTCAGGGACAAAAAATGTTCATTTTGAAATTTTAGGAACCAAATAGACACCTACCTCAGACRTCGGGGATCAAAAATATATTTTGTCCTAATAATTTTTATTTGTCAACATTGTGCCYRTTAAAGCATCTTGCTTTATTCTCTTGAAGTTGAAGGTTGAACACYCTATTTTATTTTATTGATTACTTTTATTAAAATAAAAATAATATTTATGTATTAAAATTGAAATTGAAAAATGTTTTTAAAAGCTTAATCAAATTTAAGATAAGTGAAATAAACCAACTAAAAAAAATCATATTTTTTGAAAATGGATAAAGATTAAAAAAATAATAATAATAATAATAAAAACTTTTGAAACCAACTATAAAGTTTAGGTTATATTTTACTTAGTATCAAACAGATTTGAACCTCAAGAAATAAATAATGTCTTGATCAATTGAATTATGTTTGTGTCGAGAACTAAAGTATGATTCAAAACAAATACAAAATTATTATATTAGGGTTTTCTTCTTTAATATATGTTATGAATATTTTATGGTATATTAAGGAAAATAGAAAAAACCATCTTTCAAATATTATTTGAAAGACAGGATTTGTTACACTCACACTCTAACTTTCAATTTGATCAATCATCCCTTAAATATACAAAATTTTGCAATCAAGTTCTTATATTGTAAAATGCATAAATCACTCATAAATTATAAGGATTATTACCACAAAACTCTTGAATAATAAAACTATTACAGTTTAACCTCATTTTGTTTAATGTTATAAAATTTGAAAAGTATAATATTAACCATTGAAAATTCTAGTTTTCAGATCATGTTGAATTGTCATCTCGATTTAACAAAACATAAAATTGATGTAAAGAAATTTTGTCTGATGGTAATAATCTTATAGTCAGGGGTTGATTGATGAATTTTAAARTTTGAGGATGTGATAATCACAACTCCAATATATAAATRTAAATATATAACTATATATATGGTTGAAGGTAAGCATGGTTCTAAATATCTGTCGATACACGGCGACATTTTCATCGACATATCCATGTTTCCATGGGTTCGACATCGACATGAGGGGTGAATTGACATTTCCATAATAGTATAAAAAAAATCGACAAAATATGAAAAATATAAAAAAAAAATGTCACTAATATATATATATATATATATATATTAATTTTTTTTAACTAATTTAGAAATAGAAAAATGTTTATTTGTTAATTTAAATATTTTTTACGATTTTTTAATTTTTCTTACTTTTATAGAAATATCCATCGAAATCGATATTTTATCTATATTTTCATGAAATTGAGGCCTCGACATTTCCATCGACATCGACATTTAAAACCATGACGGTAAGTACATCTTGATCTAACTTTAATGACTAGAACTAGAGTTGTGGTGAAACATTTTTTTTTACAATTTTTCCTATATTCTAAAACAAATTATTTGAGAATGTTTAGCCCCAACGATTTAGTCAACAAAGATAAAGTAACTATGTTCGACTAAAAGGTGGTGAATTCGAATCATTGTCCACGTATTATACTAAAAAAAGTTAAAAAATACATTTGGTCMCTGTAATTTCGTTAAAGTAACCATAGTTCATGAATTTTTAATTGTAACAATTTAGTCCATGTATTTTCATATTTATAATAATTTAGTCATTGAACTTTAATACGTAACACTTTAATCCCTATAGTTTAAAATGTGTATCAATTTAGTCCCTACCAAAAAAGTTCTCATAAAAAATAAACGTCATTTTTTAATATATAACGACTTATTTTTTTGTAATTTATAAATATATTTAATCCTTCATTCGATTTATCAACCTACGTATATAATAAATTTAACAAAAAGTTTCACAATAGAGACTAATCGGTATAAACTTTAAATTTCAATAACTAAATTATCATATATTAAATCTCATGGACTAAATTGTTATRAATGGACTAACTCGTTATTTTAAAAGTTCGGAGACTAAACCGTTAACCCCACSCAAAGTATAAGAAGTGTTTTTTAATCCGAAGAAAAATAAAAAAAGCAGCGAATATAAAAATCCCTCTTGAGTTTGAAGAAAGAAAATTTGTGCTTTCCCTTCGACCAGAAACAGCACCAGCTTCTCCAGATTTCTCCTCCATTATATCGATGTTCAGATAAGAATTCAGAAGCAGTGTCAATGGCGAAGAGATCAGTAGCACTGAAATTCTCGTGCCTTCTCCATAATCGGGCCCTCAACAATCCCATGGACGCCACATTCCGTGGTTTTCCCCCCTCCATCCGAACGCCGAAGCTCTCTCTTCTATGCACACCCTTCTGCTCCACTTCCTCATCCACAGCCGTACGCCACCTTCTTGCCGAGCTCGATAAGGAGTGGCGTTTGAAGTCGATGGAATCGGTTGCAAACTTTTCCTCCAAGTATTTCAGTTTCATTTGATTGTTCTTCTGCCTGAGCAGCTTTCAATTTGATTCACTCACCATATTTTCTTCTACTGTTTAGTTCACGTATTGTACATTTGGAGATTTAGTAGAGATAAGAAAGTAGTATAGCTCTTGATTGTTGAAAGAAAGAGCAGTAGTTTTTCAGCTTTATTTAGCTTATAAATCTTTCAAATATGAGACCTTGGTTATTGAATTGAAGTAATAAACGATTCTGCCAATTTTTTTTTTATTAATATTGATTATAATTGCGAACAAAGTTCAACAGGAGACATCTTGTGTATTTCCAATATTGTATTCCGAAATGTTAAAGTCTTAGGTTATGATGTATCCGAAATCGTGAAGTCTCTATTTTAAGGACGGTATAAAAATTTTCTTTATTTCAGATTCAGGAAATAGCAAAATCTGTAAATTGGTAATTAGATCTAAAATTAATTTGTCAAAAACTTTTATTCTTACTCGAGGTACTATGAATATAAGGAATTATAAGGAATGTTACGTTTTAAAATTAATACATTACTATGGGTACCTGGGGGAGATATACATTTCATTGATCATGCCCATTTTTATTGAAAAAATACGTCTGCATTTGTATGTCCATGGGTGCTTATATTTCTCATACTTAAGCTTTGAATTTGTGTTTCTTTCTGATGTTATAGTTCCCCCCTGCAAATTTATTGTCATAAAAGAACATAGGTTTATAGACTAACGTATATTTATTTCATCATAACGACAGGATCTTGATGAGAGAGTGATCGATGTAAATAGAACTTGTAATGATAGACAGGTATCAAACTTTTTTAGTTATTACTTGGAAAAAGTTTACTATTTATTAGAACCTTGTGTAATATGCCAATCCCTGCTGTTATCAGAATGGGCTCGAAAAGGCACTTTCTTTGTATGAGGAAATGGTTGGAAGTGGAATCTTCCCTGATGTAGTTACTTATAGTTCCATTTTATACGGTCTTTGTAAGCATGGGAGGTTGTCTGAAGGAAAACTGCTTTTGAGGGAGATGGGAAAGATGGGCATGGATCCTAATGATGTCTCATATTCGATCCTTATTGATGCATTGTTTAAGGCTGGGAAAATTGCAGAAGCATTAACGACGCTGGGTCATATGATTGTGCGTGGTAGTAACTTTGATGTGATAGCATGTACTGTTTTGATTGATGGGTTCTTCAAGAATGGACAAACAAAGGAGGCTGAGTATATGTTCTGCAATTTGTATCAACTTAATCTAGTTCCAAACTGTATCACATATTCTGTCTTAATTGATGGCCGTTGCAAGTTAGGAGACATAAATGGTGCTGAATCTGCACTGTACGAGATGGAGGAGAAACGTTGTGTCCCTAATGTCATTACCTATTCTTCTATGATCAATGGTTATGTGAAGAAAGGAATGCTTCATAATGCATTTAAAGTATTAAGAAAGATGGTACACCAAAATGTCATGCCAAATATATTTACTTATGCAATTCTACTTGATGGTTCTTTCAAGGCTGGTTGGCAAGACATTGGCCTTGATATTTATAACAAAATGAAGCAGGGAGGAATCAAGGATAATGTTTTTATACTGGATGCTTTAATGAACAATTTGAAACGAAGTGGAAGGATGGAGGAAGCTGGGGATCTAATTGCAAAAATGGTATCTGGAGGTTTAATTCCTGACCTTGTTAACTATACGACTCTGATGGATGGGTTCTTGAAGTCTGGGAAAGAATCATCTGCTCTTAACCTGGCTCAGGAAATGACTTCCAAGAATATCGTGTTTGATGTTGTTGCTTTCAATGTCTTAATTAATGGTTTGTTTAAGCTTGGGAAATGCGACACAGAATCAATTTACATAGCAATGGGGGAGTTGGGGTTATCTCCAGACTCAGCAACATACAATACCATGATAAATGGTAATTTTAAGAAGGGGAATTGGGAAAGTGCCCTGAAATTATGGAATGAGATGAAGGGCAGAAAGTTGGTACCAAGTGCAATCACCTGTAACATTATGATAAGCGGTCTCTGTGAAGCTGGGAGGATAGAAAAAGCAATCGATATATTGAAAGAAATGGTTGCTCTGGGTTTTTACCCCACATCAACTACTTATAGAATTCTACTCAAAGTATCCTCGAAGAGTAGAAGAGCCGACATTATCTTAAAGATCCATGAGTGTTTTGTTGGTTTGCACCTTAAAGTTGATAAGGATGTTTACAATAGTCTCATATGCAACTTGTGCAGAATAGGAATGACTAGGAAGGCAACTGTAGTGTTTAAAGACATGAAGAAAAGAGGAACTTTGGCAGATACAAGGACATACAATGCCCTGATACAGGGATATTGCATTAGCAGCCATCTGAAGCGAGCTTTTATGACGTACTCTTCGATGTTGTCTGAAAGAGTTTCTCCAAATATTGCAACTTTCAATCTCCTTCTAGGTGGTCTTTCTAAAGCTGGGTTAATATGCGAGGCTGACGATCTACTTAGTGAGATAAGGAAAAGGGGCTTAGTTCCCAATGCTTGTACCTACGAAACTTTGATACGTGGCCATTGCAAGGTTGGAAATACGAAGGAATCTTTGAGATTCTACTGTGAGATGGTAATTAAAGGATTTATTCCAAGACCGAGCACCTATAATGTTCTTMTTGGTTATTTTTCTAAGATGGGAAAAATGGGCCAAGCTAAGGAGCTAATGAATGAGATGCAGACAAAAGGTGTATCCCCTACTTCTTCCACTTATGACATACTGATTTGTGGGTGGTGCAAGCTGTCTAAGATGCCAGATCTGGACATGGCACTAAAAGTATCATACCGGGCCGAGGCAAAAAGATTATTCACTGAGATGAATGATAAAGGATTTGTTCCTTGTGAAAGTACTGTTTTTTGCATTAGTTCTACATTTGCTACACCTGGGAAGAAGGCTGATGCCCTTATGTTATTGAAGAACAAATACAAGAGAAAGCGTGAGTGAGATATATTTATCATAGGGGATTGGAATTCCTTCGAATAGTGAGTATTCTTTACTGTGAGATTTATCTTATAATTTTCTTGTGCTATAGTATTGAGATTAACAAAATTAGCGGGTTACCTTGGATGAATTTGGCATAAAAATTTATAGTTATTTGATTACTGAACAGTAATTAAACTGTGCCATTATTCTCTCTCTTGAACTTTTAATAAGAAATGAAGTATTTCATTAATAAAATGAATCACATGTAGGACCCCAAAAACAAAAAGGAGTTGCAGAAACCTCTCCAGTTGGCACAAATGGTAGAAAGACGTCCTATAAGGACGACTTAGAAACTGTAGTTGCCTATTAGTTGAATCGAAAATTTATTATCTTTTTCTCCCAATTCTGAAGTTGACATTTTATAGGATTGTAAATTTATTTGATATTGGAACTAAATGCATTATATTTTCTCCCGTTTCTGTTTATTTTGCTCCTCTTGCTTAGCTCATATCCCCACATTTCTTGGTTATCTTAGTAGGATACTTGATAAAATTAAAATAGTAAAAGAAAATGTTAGACAACATTATTGGATCAAAGTACTCTCCTCCACCTCCTTGTGACATTTCTGTAGTTCAGAGGTAGAGTGGGGTGGTGGAGGAAGTTATTTAGGATTCTTCTTTCCGAGGGAAAGGTTGTGTTCTATGGAAAGCTGGCTTTTTAGCTGTTGTTGGGTTTATTTGGTCGGAAAGAAGTATAGGGTATACAAGGTTAGATAGATCGTGAGAAGGTATTGAGTTTGGCTGTTTGGGGGATTTTAATGTTTTCATTTCGACTCTTATTTCATATTTGTTTCGTAATTTGGCCTTTATTTTTTATGACCAAAAGTTGGGATGCTTGGTCTTGTTTGTATGGGACCTTTCTTCGAACTTTCATTTGGTTTCCTATTAAAAGAAAAAAAGGGAACTGTCAGGACTCAGAATGCCCTTAAATCTTAATTTATCCGTTGCTTCTGTCCGTTTTACTCTCTCAATGACTATAACTTTGCTTAAGAAAGTTGCATTTTCTCTTACCTAAAATCTAATCTTTCCTGATGCTTCATGTTTATTTAAAGTCCAAAAAGAAAGATGCAATAAGTAGCTTTTAAATTAGAGTGGAACTATAATTGTTAGAGATTAGCTATCTGACATGGCTGTTTTCCCATTCAAATATGCAGGATATCTGACATCAGTTGATTGGATTCACTACCTCTATCAATGCAACTGCGTTTCTGTGTAATTGATGAGGTTACATACATCTTTTGCCTTTCCATCATCATCCGGACAATGTTGCTCATCACTTCTCCATCTCATTTGTACAMGCATCTCATATGATGTATCTATGAACGCCAGCCATCATGATTGAGTATTTCATCTTTCCCTTCCCCCTGTTGTGATGCCTTTTTGAGCAATCATCAATCTTGAGACTGACTTAGGCTTGTTCTATTGTATTTTCCATTTCAACTCCCAGGGGCTTATTGGGCTGAGTTGAAAGAAGTTGAAACTTCACATATAGAGGAGAGCTACTGTTGGTCGTAGCTCTGGGCTGGTAGGTGTTGATATGTCGGTTTGGGATGTTAAAGTTATAGGAAGATGTGTTGTTGCAGAAGTGTCGTATGGCGGTTTTCTTTAATCAATCTTGCATGATGGTTTTCAGGATGTGTATTTATTTGATTGTTTATTTTTGCAGGAACTGTTTGAAAGTGGCAAGAATACTTCTTTGTTTGGTGKTTCTCTTTGCTGGTAATGCATGAGGTTGAAGGCATTTCCAAAGCATTTCATGGACATTTTAAATGCTTCAAGGTGAGTAGTAGTTATATTTCTCTTCATACTTTTCTATTTCAAGTTCAACATCATTGGACACACTCATGGGGGCATTGGTAGCCTGAATTTTGACTTTTCTACTTTTTTCTTTTGAAAAGAAACACCAAAAAAACTGTTTTGATCCTCATGCCATCACCAGAAGACAAGGCTTCATTACTTTGATCTTTTTCTTCCTTATTTAGGCCTTGACTGACTGCATCTGAACTAAAATGGAACTTTGCACAATTCTCCAATCATCAGCTGAAAGAATAGTATTGTCATCACTTTCCAATCATCAGCTCTCGGAAGGCTCTAGAACTTTCGATGCCAGCTCATCAAATCGAGCGACCTGAATATCCAAATGTTGTGTTTGTGACTGTAGTTTTCATCTCTCTCACACTCACAATCACATTTTGAGAGCTTTTGAACATTGATCAACGTTTCGTTTTTGCAGTGGCGAAGTTTGCAAGGAAAATATTTTCTGAAACTGTACAGCTTGTTGAAAATATATAGTGATGGTAGAAGGATGGATCATGGATGAATAAGAATCAGAAAAGTGAAGCTTATGAGGATGACATTGCAATTCATCTAGAGGAAAATTGTCCGATGTACCACAGCATTTGGTTCTCAAGAAACTGTAGAATCTTAGAATCTTACGTGATCATCATAAAATTTGAATTCGTTGTTCCAAAATTTATTTACTTTTTCACATGTCCTAATGTTCGATCGAACCGCTTTCCTTCATTCCACTCGTTCAGGCCTCTTCACAAACTGGGTCCATCCAAGATGGTTAGTGTATATATAATATGTATACAGTTAGGTAAGGTAACATTTTTGGAAGCTTTTTACCATTACAATATAAAGTTATAGACTAAAGTGAGTAGCTCGACTCTTGGATTGTCGAGTAAGCTAAAGCTTTTCATTCTTGAATGTAATGTTTTTGAACGATATTGAGTTGGTTGTGTTTCACGTTGACTATTGGTATTCATTATGATGTATTCACTCCGTTCTTCGTCGACTCGTGACATTGAAACTTTCACATATATATGAGTTACTTTCGTGATTGTCTAGGATTTTTATGTCTCATCTAGTTTCTCCCTATAATTTTTATTTATTAATCTTTTTACTTATGGACACAGGAGAGTTCGAACCTAGATTTTGGGTTTGCGCCAACACCCTAGGGTACTTCTCCCTATCATTTTGCTGACTGATATATATATATTTTAATATTAATTCTGAGGTTGATTTGAAAATAGTTAATAGTTCTATAATATTACTTTGCTACCATGGAAAAATAATTAATTAACCAGAAATTTTAAAGAAATAAAGCATAATTTAATCATTAAAAAACTGAGTGGTTGTTTGGGAATATTCAAAGTAGTTCCAAAAGTTTCAAAATCTTTAGAAGTAATTTGGATTGTATCTCTTGCACAATATATAGTCAAATTCTTAACATACTACGAGTTAATACTTTAAACCCTATTTATATTAAGGAAATGAGAATGAATTTTTTTATTCGTGTGATGGTATTTATTAAAATATTCGTGTATAAGGGTAGTCTTATTCGTTCATCTACTAAATTCTTATTCTTGGTATTTACTTCAGAGGCTTACACTTTTTTAATAATTACGTTACAAACTTTTACCATTTTTATGGCATCTACTAATGAAATTTACAACTTTTTAATTAATTGCCTTACAATTTTATTTTTTCTTTGTTCATTTATACTACTAATTATTTTATTCTAATAAAAAATTATATAACTTTTATTAGTTGATATGATATATATAGAATATTACAAATTTTATTTAATTTTACTTTGTTGTTATTAATTAATATCCATAAAATTGTTAAAAATCCATTATTAAATATTATAATAATAAAATTTAATATTAATGAGGRTTGTTCCAATAAAAATTATATTAATAGTTTTAGTTGATGTAGTTTTATTTTAATTATCAATTATTTGTTAATATTAAATAAATTATCATAATAAAAAAAATAATTACTATCAATAAAATAATAATAAAATAAATTAAAATCTATTATTGTTTTAAACTAAAATAATATTAGCATATAAGTAATGTGTTTGTAAATTAACTAGAAATAAGAAATACATATTCTAATCATGGTTAATCATTGTTGTATATCTAATTCTTATTCCAATTTTATATCATTTTAGTAAACAATATCAATATGTTTCTAATTCCGATCCCATAAAATTTATAATAAACAATATCAAAGAAATARTATTCTCACTTCGATGGATTTTTATTTTGATTCTTTATTAATTATTCTAGTTCCTAATACAAGCCTAAAAATATAGCATGATGATAACATCTGATTTCATTAGATGAACATATTTCGGTCCTTATTGTACATATTTCTTCCAAATCAGAATAATATGTACTCGAAAAATCACCTAGCGCTCTTCATATTCTAAAGGGAAAAAAGATGCTTAGATTGATTCCTTCCCTATCAAAACCCTGTTCTTGCTTCAGCTGTATTCAATTCTAACTGTTGTTTGCCAGTTGCAGCCATCAACAAAAAGCCTTTGAGACTATTTTTAATGGAGAAGTGCTGTATTTATCTCAAAGCTTGAAAATCTGGCTCTCTCCAAGCTCGAACTTSGTGGTTAYGATCCGAAAAATAGCTCTTTAACAGATGATAGAGGTGTGCGGAATCCATATACCACAGAGTCTCTCCAAAAGAAAAAGCCTACATGAAGTAGCAACATTAGATATGTAGAGGTCATTTGATAACGTTCCAGTTTTTACTTCTTATTTTTAGTTTGTTAGAAAATTTAGTAATTATTTTCTATGTCTGGTTTCTTATTTTTAAGAAACATTTCTAAATTTCAATAGAAAAGAAAAAACAATAACTGAAAAACGAGAAACAATTACTAAATACGTTTTTACTTGTCTTATCYACCCAACGAAAAATAAGAAATGAGAAATAAAAACACTACCAAAACATTAACTACGTAGTAGATTCATAGTATCTTTTTGAACCAGATGGTATAAATCTGCCTATCTCTCAAAGTATATGGAAGGCACAAATAGATGGGGATAAGAAGAGAACCTATCCAGGAGACCAGACCAGCAGTCGCTGCGACGAAGAACTCCATGCTCACGCCGTTGCAACTGTGGGATCCATAAACACATTTTTTTTTTAATAAACTCATACTAAGGTAACACAAATGCAGATGTATCAAACATTACAGCAGCTTACCAGTACAAGCATAGAATGTTAGCATATCCATAAAACAAAACTGCCCAAGCCGAACCTGTGAACCTGCAATTTTTAGTTTAAACGAGTATTATCGATATGCTAACGAAGGCCATTCGGGGCACTATTTTCCCACTGTTATATATTCTGCAATTGTCATGATTACACACCCTACTGCTGAAAAATGGCACATTATATGTGTCGATTAGACCTATTTCCATGATGTGCAAGACGTAGTTGTTCTTTAGTTTCTTTCTCTTATTGATATGGTTCCTAAACTTTGATAGTTGTATCTATTTTGTACTTGAAGCTTTTAAAATTTTCATTATGCCCTTGAACTGTGTTTTCTAGTTTCTGATGTTAACACGCTTAACTAAATAAGCAGACAACTAGCATACATATGGCMTAATTAGACATTTGAACAAAATAAAATGGCACGAAAATGGTTAACATCACGAACTACTTAGATTCACAATTCAAAGTTCAGGAGCATAATTAAAACTTCTAAATAGGCACAAGTCCACTACCATCAAAGTTCATAATTAAATTTGCAATTTAACCTATTTGTGTTAGTCTTGATAAGACATGTTGAAAGCTACTTCATATACACAAAATAATAAACATGGATGTAGTTTGGAGGCTTCTCCCAATGCTTCTCAGTTCTCGAAGTCATCCCAAACATGCTAACACCCAACTATTACAACATTCTAGTTGATTGAAAATAGAATAATGACTAGAAAACAGACATTAAAGGTCTTGGGAGAAAAATTACCACATTAAGTCTCGAATAAAAAGCGCACGTGGGAGTAAAAGACCATTTCCAAGCATGGCAAGAAGCATTGAGAGAGCTGATAAGCCTTTGATGTTCTCAGGATTCAGATAATTTGTCCACTAAACAAACAGCATATGGGAGTCAGACTTCAAAGGTAAAAATCAAGATCCACGATATCGTGTTAAGGATGACTAAACTACCACTCAACCCAAAAGCTTAAACTCATGGATTGAGTAACTTTAATTCATATATATGTATTCTAAACACTCCCCTCACTTGCGGGCTTGGATAATTACACAAGGCCCAACAAGTGGAAATCATTATAAATGGGGAGGAAACAAGAGTTCGAATATAGGACCTCCCGCTCTGATACCATGCTAAAGATAAATAAACCACCACCCAACCCAAAAGTTTAAGCTGATGGGTCGGATAGATTTAATTCATATATATGGATTCTAACGTATTTATACCATACTAAAAGTTCAAACAGAAAAAATACCAGTTGTGAAACCGGCATCCACATGAAGAGAAGTGTTGCTGTCCATCCAGATAATGCTCCAACAATTTTCACACCTTTCTCAGGAAGTTTTCCAGCTCGTGCCTGTAAATCTTAAAAGGACGCATTTAACGGATGCTGAACTAGATTGCATGAAGACCACTTTTAGCAACACAAGCCGTAACATATAATAATCTTGGTTTCATATAAGAGTTCATACTATCTCATTTTAATGACCGTATACACGAAAAGTGGGTTGCCAGAAAGGATTTCCTAAATAAGAGGAAAATGACCATCCATTTTCTGACCACATGCAATCAAGATTTATCAACTTTGTCATTCCAAATGGCTTTCGAAGCAATTTTTGCAGCACCATCATTCACAAGGATGGTCAGTTCTCACACACAAGATTAGTTTCAGATTGCTGAGAAATTAGCCCATTTAAATTATACTATAAGTTTGAACTTTAGTTCATTATTGACATGCCTGCATGGTCTGTGTTATCAGGTAAGATTGATGAGTGCAAATTCGATCACAGAGTACGGAGACARTGGAATAATCCCTCAAAATTTATATTCCATTGAATGAGTTTGGATATGCAGGAAAAAAATTTATAGGTAAGAAAAAGTCTACCAAAGCAACTGCTAGCAGAGCTGCGACCAAAGCAGATACTCCAGGCAAGATACTATTTGGTACGAACGGAACAAAAGTAGACCACATAACCTGCAAGAAAAATTTGCAAACCAAAATTCCACCTCTTTGAGACGAATTTTACGATTAAATTGTTATCTATTCTTGGTAAAAAGCTGAGCTAGAAGAGAGATTACCTGGGGAAGGACAGATAATCCACCAACAGTGATGAAGTCTTGCCAAAAATTCAAGATTTGTACAGGAAGAACATTAAAGTAATTCATAAAGTTTATAACAAGACCAGAAGCCACAACAGCCGATGTGGCTGCAAAGTGAGGCAGGGGCATGGCTCCTGCTATTGACAGCTGGGATAAAACCACATATGTTGTAACTACTCCTAATGTTTGAATCACCATGGCCTCCTTCTCCCTCTTCTTTGCGAAGTACGACAGCAGTGAAAGGTTCCCAAGCAAACCAGTTAACATACCCTATATGTATAAATTAACTCCTTGAGATTCAATACCTTGGCATTTTTCTGGACTGGGATTGAAATTGGGAAATAAAAGAAACAAAAAAATACTTTTCTTTGACTTGAAAACACTAAATATCAATGCACATGACTCAACATTTTATTGCTGATGTCCATTCTCTCTAAACAAACTTTGAATGGAAGTAGTTTTTACCAGCCATGGAACTGCCAAAAGCGCAGTTTTGTTTCCAGCTAAAAGGTTTCGAGCATTAAGGATAATCTGAGGCAATTGTAACAACATAAAAGGGATATTTGCTGCTCCGGAGAACTTTGCTGTCAATGAACTCCAGTCCTCAAACCCCTTGCTGTCCCTTAAAGTTTCAGGTCCCTTCTTCACAATTTAAAAAGAGAAAAAGTGAGCACATCTATACAAAAAGTAGGATCTGTTCGGTCATTCCAAAACTTGATTACCTTCTAGTGTAAGATATTACTTAAGAGGCCCAAAATTGCAAACTATTATTTTAATTGCTATTGGAGTTCATGACAATCTTATAACTCGAATGAAATTGAGCTTAAAGCCAAGCTATTGCATACTTTATATAACTCAATGGCGAGGAACCTGATATACTGTTCTTCCACTTATTCAACAACACAACGTATTTGAAATTCCCAACTTAGAAATTCGCAAGTCATGTATTTGCTTCGTTAATTTGAGATTCTAAAGTTGATCCATCATTCTGCAGAAGAATCTTCAGAAATTGACGTTTCCACTTTCAAATAATTTCTTTGACAACACACACACACAACAGACCAAAACCACATCCTAATTATATTGCAAATATGGCGGCGAGTTGAAACGCTCGTTGAATTCATCGTAGAGAAAGAACCGAAATTGCACAAAAATAACAGAAAACATCAAATCAGGCCATTATAGTACACAGCAGCCACCGAGAGTGAAATGCTTCATCAACTCAAATTTTTGAATAAAGAGGAGAAAGCAGGGCAAAGTTTAGACAAGTACCATATTCCAAACAGAWGAAATCGATAATACAAACGAGCAAGAACATACAGTAGCAACCTGGTGATGCGACTGAGGGACGTCGGACTCCACGGCGGCGACCGGAGGAAGACGGCGGCGAGGCAAGGTCAGCCGGGAACTGCGTGGCRGCACCTGGTTCAAACAAAAGAAATCTTGCGGATTTTGGGTATTCAGAGGCAAAGAGAGGAAAATGGGCTTCGAAGAAACTGAAGCCGAGCAGAACCCAAGTGGGGTTCGTCGCAAAGGAGCTCCAGCCCCATTTGAAACCAATGGGGGCCTAACCGCCATGATCATCAAGCTCAGCAACACACAGAGAGAAGATGGAAGCTGGTGATTGGCAGTGGAATCACAATCACAGTCAGGTTAGTAAAGAGAAAGAGCGAGAGAGAGAGAATTCGTTGAAGGGTGGATTGGGAAGCTTCAGATTTTGAAGAATTTGGAGGCGACGCGTGGAAAGAAGCTCGATTAGGACAAAGATGATCTTGTTTGGGGCCGCGAGATATTTATGGAGGAACTGCATTTCGCGTTGTTTCATGAAAATGAAGTATGGGAAAGGAAATCAGAGAGAGATGTGCAGCAGAACAGCGTTCGTTGGGCGCAAGATCCAATTCTGAGTAATCAAATTTTGGAAGTACAGCACTCACTCTCRCATGCCTTCGCCATTGGGGCCGCCCTTCTTCTTCATCTCTTTCTTCTGAAAAAATTAAATTTTTTCATGTTGCCACATTTTAAAGAAACATTTTTCTTTTTTCTTTTTTTCTTTTTTGTTTTTTTATCATTTGAATCATTTCTATCGRAAAAATCTCGGTAGTGCGGGAGTATTATACTCTTTTTTTTCACATTATAATTTTATTTTTATAAATATTTTTTAATATTAGTGGCAATATTTTAGATATGGGTGTCTATGAAAATATCGATATTTCAATTCCATAGAAATATCCCTAAATTGTGGACGTTAATAGATGTTTCTATATAAAAGTTAGAAAAATTAAAAAATCYTAATAAATATTTAAATTAACAAATAAATATTTTTCTATTTATGAATGAGTTAAAAAGTCGTAATAAATGTTAGCTGCTCCTACCAAACATTAAAGAAAAAGGATGATCAGCATACTTCTTCCATGTTATGTATATATATATATATGCTCAACAATTTGACTTCTACGAAAAGAAGTGACACCTTTAGGACATTGGCATTTGATATCTAAAATACGATAATATGAACACRTGAGAGAGAATGATTTTATTGATGCCAAAATCCGATATGTTTATGTTGYTGGCGAATGGTGACGTGGATGTTCCTTTTACGAGCGTATTAACTATAAGACCGAACTCAAGGCCGATATGGTATTCTGCCAAATGCATTATGAAGTTTAAGTTAAAACTCATTTTAGGGGAGCTACAAGGGAAAGTGAGTGGTGCAAGATATTACCTAWCTTTGAGAAGAGTTCGACTCTYTATAGGGGAATGATTTAGAGGAACGTACTTTAAAACTCCTCGACGTAATGTTAGGTAGAGAGTCGTTAGTCGCCTCTAAAGATACTCTGAGATGCGAGATCGTAATCTCGTTGATTGTCAGCCCATATTCCACGAGGTGAACTCTATCCAATAAAAGTAACTAAACTGGGCCGCTCATCTTTGGGGCAAGCGAGCTTTCCCTCTTCAGCCCATTGCATTCGGATAGGGCCCACAACTCTTCATTGTGCTTTGGAATTTGCCATTTGATGTTTGCAAAGTAGAAAAGCTGTGTTTAAGTGTAGAAAGTGGGAAGTTTGGAAACTCGAGTTCAAGAACTATTGGATTATTGTGATTTAAGACCTGCATTGGAACTTACTAAATAGTATGAATATGAATGTTTTTTTTATGGTACAAATATCAAAAGAGGAAAAAGATAGCAAAATATAAATTCATGGTTAGAGAACTCTAGTTAATTTTAGGGAAAAAAAAAACTTTCAAATTTGAGGGTAAACAATTTTTACTTTTGAACTTTTCAATTTTCTCTCAACTTTTAATTTTCAATAGGGTGGTGGACCAAACTAATTGAATATGGTAGCCATCAACTTCTTCATAAATCCACTTACACGCAATTGGACATCTTAAACTCAATTAAGCTCTTCTTAATTATTTAGTAAACCTAGCACTACTCTCCCATGTAACCATTACTTCATTATATAAAGTTGAGTTATTATTATTATTAATTTTTTTTTTGTTTTTTAAGTATTACATCATAAATATGTGAAGATTTAAACCTATAACTCTGTACAAAAGATAAAGGTGTCTAAATCATTGAACTATGGTTCGYTGYTTTGTAGATGAGCTATGTTCACARATATAACTTTTAGTTACAAAATTTATTGATTCACAATGATTCATATTTACAATTAGGTAAAACTTCCGGATTCCGATGAGTCATTTTAGGAACAATTTGTCATGATGAGGTCATAAGTTAGAATCATAGAATTGTTAAAAAGACAAATACTTAGTTATCTAAKATTTGAACTAACATTTCAAGAGACAACCATTTGTAGACTTTCTTCAYATGGAGGTGTGTTGCAGTTGCATTTACCTTATATAATTAGGGAGTTGCAAAATCTATCTTTTTAAATAGAAATATTCCTAACTCTMCGTTTGGTTATATTCAACACAAATATTGAAAATCGTAACAAAAAACTACCGACATATATATGCAGTTAAAGAAAATCAAGTGATACAAGAATAGTCTKGTGTAATTTTAAAAAATGCCCGTAGCTAGTCACATTTTGAAGAAATGAAAACTCTTAGAGATAATAGTAGTAAGTTAACCTAAGCTTAGYTTAGCGTTAATAAGCACCCTATTTTTTTATCAAGAGGTCGTAAGTTAAAATCTCATAAATAGTTTCTAAAGTTAGTGAATTGTATGCTATGTTACTATTTTCGCTCTATTTTTGAATTAATGGTATATATCCAAAGAAATCATTTTCATAATGAAGAAAATGTCATAAAATAAAAAGAAATATACTTTTCATTATCTCATATTGATTATAGATTGTCCTTCCAACTTGGGAAGTAATTTCCTAGGCTGTCCCTAACTTAATTTATTGGATAATCTCACAAATGGTAAAAAACAGTAAAACATTATATATTTTAGRTTTGTATATTTGATTTTGATTCATTTTTCTCCCGCCTTCAATATTCATTTTTGTCCCTATATTTTCAACTTTCTTTCACTTTTAGTCCATTTACTTTCAAAATGTTTGTTTTGATCTCTATATTCTTAAAATTTTTGGTCCAACTTTTTTTAACTCTTATCTTATATATTGATAAAATTTTTGACACACGCACTCACTATTTTTATTTTTTATAAAAAGTCATAAATTTGTATTAAAAGAGTTCTACTATGTATGAAATTTGGGTTAAAATTTTGCACATAGGAGCAAAATGGTAATTTTTTAAAAATACATGAACCAAAACAGACATTTTAAAAGTACAATTAGGGATGAATGTTGGTCGATCAGGTCAGTTTTTAGGCCAAAATTCCCGCCAACTGACATATTGAAACCGATCGACCAATAAACGAAGCCCTTGCTGATCGACTTTTTGTCAGTTTCGGCTAGTCGGTTTTCAACAAACCAACCTTTTCTTTTTCTTACATTTTTGTGTTTTTTGAAACTCAACTGGGGGTTGAGTTGCGACGGTAGCAGGTGGGGCTATACGACATTGAATGGTGAGGGGTTGGATCGCAACAAAAATCAAGCAACGAGGGTTGGGTGCAGCAAAAATTGAGTAGTGGGACTTGCGTGTGGCGAAAATCAAGCAAAATCAAGCGGCTGAACTGATAAAAAGTGAAAGTACAAAGACGAAATGTACAAGGACCAAAATGAACAAACTTGAAAGTACATCAACAAAATAATATTTAAACATATATTTTATAAATTTCTCAAACCTTGAAGATGGCCGGGGATAAATTTATAAATTCTTGAACTTTTTTTTAGTACAATAAGCAAGTAGGGTGGGGATTTGAACTTACCTGGTTAAAGATAAACAAGTTGTGCCAATTATTACCGATTTAAGTCWATGTTGACTAGAAATTCTTCAAGAAAGAAGGTATAAAAAATTTAATTTTGTAAAGTTGCTTCTTTCTTTTATTTTCTTTCCATTGGTCCATTATTATTGTTATTATTAATATTATTATTTTCCAATGTAATTAAAATGATATGAAATTTTAAAGGAAAAAAAAAACTATAAATAAAAAGGAAAACGTAGTCACCATTTTTCCTAGATGGGGACCTTGTCCAAAAAAGATTACATCAAACTTAAATAAAAGTATTTGTATTATTTTTAAAAGAATAACTAAATAACTAATATTTTTAACGGAGTACAAAAAAAAAAAAACTAATATTTTTAACGAGCTAGTTGGTTTTTGTTGTTGAAATTTATAAATTTTGGTAGAATTATTTTACAGTCAATTTTGTGCATTAGTTCAGTTTAATTTAGTAAATTAGTGAGTTTTGAAGTTTTTTATACTATTACTTTGTTAAAATTAATGAGTAAATTAGGATAAGTGGAATGATATGCTAAAGACAAATTTATGATTTAATTAATGAAATTAAAAGTTAAAAAGATGAAATTTAAAGGCAAAAGAATATATTCTTTTTTAAAAAATAACCGTTCATAATTCTAAATGATATAAATGCCGATGTCTCAATTTCATGAAAATATCAATAGAAATATCGATAAAATGTCGATGTTTCTCTAAAAGTTAGAGAAATTAGAAAATCGTTAAAGAATACTCAATGTATACATAAACATTTTTCTATTTTAAAATAAGTTAATTGATATTTTTTAGATTTTGTCATTTTTTTTTTTAACAATAGAAATGTCGATTTATCCCGTCGAATTCATGGATACATGTCGTAGGACGGATTTTTAATACTGTGGCTAATTCCTATAATTTTTCTTTTTCCCAATTGAGGAGAGAATTTCTTCCCAGGAATATTTTTATTTTTATTTTAATTTTGAAGGCGTTTTGACAAATTCGCCAATTAAAAAGGGGCTTCAGCCGGCGGTACGATATTCCGACGTTCAAAAAAAAAAAAGAGAGAGAAAAGAAAAGAAAAAGAAAATAAAAAAGGTTAAGAGAAAAAAGAACAAAGAAAATCGAAAAAATTGAAGGGAAGAAGAAGAAGAAGAAGAAGAAGAAGAAGAAGAAGAAGAAAGAGCAGCTACTGAAGAAGTAGGTTTTCTTCTAATTTCATTACTGCACCAGTCTTCCATTCAACCTCATCCTAGGGTTTGCATTCGAAACTTGATCCCCACTCCACTTTTTTCTATTCAAAATTTGTTCCGAGCCGCCATAATCTGTTTCCCTAGGTGAAATTAGGAATTCAGTGTTTTTTTTTTTGGATTTTCTTCTTGTTTCTGAAATCAGCATATAATTGTGTGTATTTGAGAAGGAGAGAGAGATGGATGATTATCAGGAGATGGAGAGGTTTGGTATGGAGAATGATTTCGATGATGGGCAATGGATTGGCGGCGAGTTTTATTACCGAAAGCGCAAAGAGAAGAGGTCGCAAACGAAAGACGATGTTCTATATGGTGTCTTTGCGACTGGTTCGGATTCGGACTCTGATGCTGATGGTTTTTCGTCTCGGAAGCGCCGCAAGGACCGCGACTTGTCTAGGAAGCCTGACCTCACCAAGCCCGTCAATTTTGTATCCACCGGCACCGTCATGCCCAACCAGGAGATCGATAAGATTGCCAAGGATGGAGATACTGACATTGTGGACGATGACCGGCCTGGCCTTGGCATGGGCTCTAGCACTTCTGGTTCTGGCTTGGGCTTTAAATCGTCAAATTCTGACAGAAATCTCAATGGGTTTAAGGAGAATGGTTCTACAGTCGATGGAGATGAAGATGATAACGACTTCTTTTTGCCCACTGCGTTTGGGAGAAAGATCAAGGAGGGAGCTGAAAGGAGAGAGAGGGAAAGAGTGAGATCACAGATAGAGAAGAAAAGTCAAGTTGTGGCTGGGAGCAGAAAAAATTCTGACCTTGGGAATGTTGGAGGGTTTGAGAAGCATACCAAGGGTATCGGTCTGAAGCTACTTGAAAAAATGGGATACAAGGGAGGTGGGCTTGGGAAAAACGAGCAGGGGATTGTAGCTCCCATCGAAGCTAAAATGAGGCCTAAGAATATGGGTATGGGTTTCAATGACTTCAAAGAGGCGCCTAAGATACACGCTTTGCAGGAACGGGAGGAGAAAACATTGCCCCAACCAACGGGCAAGCCAAAGGAGAGGCTATGGTCGAAGCAAGTAAGGTCTAAGAAAAAGAAAGAAGCATATATAACAGCTGAGGAATTACTGGCTAGCAAGCAGGATCAGGCAGTGGAGGTTGTTCAAAAGGTGTTTGATATGCGTGGGCCTCAGGTGCGAGTGTTGACAAATTTAGAGAACTTGAATGCTGAAGAGAAAGCCAGAGAAAATGACATCCCTATGCCGGAGCTGCAGCATAACGTGAGGTTGATTGTGGACTTGGCCGAGTTGGATATTCAAAAAATTGACAGGGATTTGAGAAATGAGAAGGAAACTGCACTTAGCTTGCAGGAAGAGAAGGAAAAGTTTGAGATTGAGTTGGCTCGACAGAAGAAGCAGTTGGATAATATGGAAGAAATTATGAGAATGCTAGAACGAATTGAAGAAGATAATTCTGGTGGAACATTGACATTAGATGCACTTGCGAAGTGCTTCAGTGGCTTGCAGAGAAAATTTGGTGATGACTACAAGTTATGTAACTTGTCCTGCATTGCATGTTCATTTGCCTTGCCTTTGTTCATTAGAATATTTCAGGGCTGGGATCCCCTTCAAAATCCATCCCATGGATTAGAATTGATATCGTTGTGGAAGACTCTGCTTCAAGATGAAGATTGTCTTGACATCTGGGATGCGACATCGCCTTATACTCTCCTGGTTTCAGAAGTTGTGCTGCCTGCAGTAAGAATCTCTGGCATAAATACTTGGCAGGCTAGGGATCCTGAACCGATGCTTCGATTCTTAGAGTCTTGGGAAAAGTTGCTGCCTCCTTCAGTCCTTCATACCATATTGGATAATGTTGTCATGCCTAAACTGGCAAGTGCTGTAGAATTGTGGGAACCTCAGAGAGATCCTGTTCCTATCCACATGTGGGTACATCCATGGCTGCCATTGTTAGGGCATAAGCTGGAGGGTATGTATCAGGTCATACGTACGAAGTTGAGTTTTGTTCTTGGTGCTTGGCACCCAAGTGATGGTTCTGCCTATACTATATTATCACCTTGGAAAGCGGTGTTCGATTCTGCTAGTTGGGAGCAGCTAATGCGTCGATTTATAGTACCTAAATTGCAGCTTGTCTTGCAAGAGTTCCAAGTAAATCCAGGAAATCAGAAACTTGATCAGTTCTACTGGGTTACTAGTTGGGCTTCTGCTATACCTATTCACATCATGGTTGATATGATGGAGAAATTTTTCTTCACCAAGTGGCTACAGGTATTGTATCACTGGTTATGTTCAAATCCAAATTTTGAGGAGGTTACAAAGTGGTACATGGGCTGGAAAGAACTCTTTCCAAAGGAGCTTCTGGCTAATGAAAGTATCCGGTATCAGCTTAGCTGTGGCCTGGATATGATGAATCAAGCTGTTGAAGGGATGGAGGTGGTTCAGCCAGGTCTGAAAGAAAATATTACATACCTCCGTGTTCTTGAGCAACGGCAGTTTGAAGCTCAGCAGAAAGCTGCTGCACAAGCTAAACAACAAGGTTCAGCTGGCATGGGCAATGCTTCACATTTGGATGGTATGGGTGGTACCCTCGAGATGACTCTGAAAGAAGTACTTGAGGCCCATGCCCAACAGCATGGTTTGCTCTTTAAGCCTAAACCTGGAAGGATGCACAATGGGCATCAGATATATGGCTTTGGAAATGTAAGTATAATAGTGGACGCTCTAAATCAAAAAGTATATGCCCAAACCGAGGAATCGTGGTCCCTAGTATCCCTTGAACGATTGCTGGACATGCACAATAGTTCTACAGCAAAGAGACGATAGATGTAAGCTTAACATAACTTTTTGAAGAGTTTCCCATATTGTGAAGCAACTTTAAGCAGTGTTTAGAACATGTAGACTGCTTGTACTATAGGAGAACATATAAGGTTAGTATGCCTTTAATCTCTCAGCCATTAGTGGGCTAGTCTTTTTCATCGTTAGATATGATCTTAAAATTCTTTTTTCATCAATATGTACTGAAATTTTTTCTTTCATGTGAATTACTATCTTATCATTAATTAATCCAAATTTCTAGCCTTTCTTGTCAACTTCTATGATGTATTCTTTCACCCTCTGCATTTTTTATTGGCATGGATAAATTATGGAAAGGCTCTTGATGATGATGATTTTTATTCTAAATTTTATAATTGGTTCATGCCTTAGAAACAGGTATTATAGCTGATAATTATTTGGTTTAAATATGGTTTTGATTTTGATGACGTGTGAATAATGAACAGGTGTTTAGAAACATAGGTCATTATAGCTGGAAAAAAAAACATAGGTCATTACAGGCTAAAGATGGAGTTTAATGGGCTGAGTCCCAAAAAAAAAAAAAAAGATGGGTGTTTAACGAGAGTTGAGATTAAAACTAAGGTTTTAAATTGTCTAGGGACTAAGACAAGAAGTTGATGATGATGGATCAAGATTAACATTTTAAAAATTTAGGAACTAAAATGGCGATGGGTAAAAGTTTCTACTTAATCCTTATTATTTATTTTTCCGATTCCTTGAAGACTTGAAACAAAAACTTTTTTTATAACAATTTTGTGTTCATCTCTAAGATGCATGTATAGAAATGGTCTTAATGCACAATTTTTTTAATTGAATAAAGAACATAAAGTCTTTCAGACCTTTATTTATTTTTGATGCTATATCATGAAAGATATTTAATAAAAAAAGGAGACTTCCAATGAATTGGAAAGGAAAATGTTCTCTCAAAGTTTACATGATTGTAAGAGTATTGCTAGAAATAGAAGATGCCTTTTTATACACTCTTCCTCAAGGATGGCTGCATACACCATGCCTTCCTCTCGATAAGATGTTATCTAACAGTAAAAACTAAAAAAGAACTAAGAAAGGTCATATTAATAAAGCACTCTGGAATGGTTATTACCCTCCCACAAAGATTTGGGTTGAGCAAATGTTCCTCACCAGTCACCATTTGTTGCAACTAATAGATCTTTGGGGATCTAGTTAGGTCTTAATCGAAGGCAATGAATGGGAGAGTTTCTCTGTGAAGACTGATTCAGACACACTTGTTTGGCTTAATGGAAGCACTATAGAATCTTGATATCCATAACCAGCACTAGATTCTTCTTAAAACTTGCGAACTTGATGCTTTGTTCTTTGGCTGGAGAGGTATAGGAATGAAAGAGGTTATTTTCTGGTACTGGATAGACGAGGCACCAATTGTTATAAGGTGAATATGATTCTGTAATTGGGGCGATTGCAGACCACTGGAAAAAGTTTATAGGGATGATGGAGCACTTTCTGGGTGAGGGAAAGGAGGAGAGTTAAGCTGAGTGCTACTGAACCAGGAAAAACGCGTAAAAAGCTTTGCTAAACCGAAATTCAAATGCAAAAGTAGCAAGATAGAGTGAGTAAACATTTTTACAAAGTGCTTAAATTGATAACTTTCTGTATTCAAATATTCGTCTTCTTATCATGTTGTGTTTTTGTTTCTAGAAAAACTATTTTTGTTCATTTTCCATTCTTCCCTCATCTTCAACACTTCCTTCTCGGATTTTCAAACTTGATAGGTTGGCTTTTGCCTCTGTTTTTTGTTTTGGCTCCATTTTGTTAAGGGCTGGTCTTTCGTATGCCTGTTGTATATCCTTTCATCTGCTCTATGAAAGTTTGGTCTTTCATATAAAAAACCTGATATGACATATAATATGATAAACGGTTAGTGTGTTATATTGGGATGATTAACTGCAGGTAAGTTTTAACTAAGTGGTGGGCAGCAAAGAACATTGAGTTTGTTAGTTAGCACTTTGTTAGCCRAGTTGCAAGGAAAGAGAGCCKTAAATGGGGAGGGTTAAGAAATTTTGAGGTCAAATTTTTGGGTAGTATATTGAGCATTTGTGGGAGAAAGTAGTAAGCATTCTTGAAAAGCTATCTACCTTTGAACTTAGCATTGTTATTTTTCTTGGATAGAGTTCAATTTCATTCTATATTTTTGCTTGCCTGTTAATTGTTTTAGAATTGGCAATCGCCTTGGAACTATGGTAGATTTTTCCAATACAAAATAGAATTATTATTGCAGTTGTGACTGAGTATGGAACTTGGAAAATATCCACCAAAACCTTGATCAACTTTTGTTTGATCGAACTAGTCCTACATTATTGAAGGCGACGACATTGAAAATAGACTGGGGTTCATTTCACATAAAAAATATCAAGGAAATGATGGGAAGCAGTCAAATAGCTTGAGGAATCAGTCACAGTAGTTGCTCCTGTCTATTTTCTATGGAATGGAACAGAAGTGGATCTATGGGGAGAGAATTTTACACATTCATTAGGAAACTTTGGACAATCGCTGTGGACAATGAGAAACATTTTGCTGCACAGACATTTTGATGACTGATTTCCCCCTCAAGGCCGGTTCTATGTTTAGTTATTTTCTGTAAACATTTTTTTCGAACTGTTCGAGTGAATAATGTTTTTCAATAGATGATGCAACATTGTGCAGGGAGGGTCACAACTCCATCTAGACAACTTGGCTCGAAATCGAATTTCGTAAAAARATTGATTCACATTTAGTAGATGGGGGCTCAAGTGTTCAACACTTGGATGAAAATCTCGTACAGAAACTTTCCCTATTATCGGTTATCGCTATTTCTGATCAAAATCACAATTGCGAATGACACAGTTTCGCTTTCTGTATATATACAGTAGACAATGGATGGTCTCTACAATGTATGAATTGTAATTATATGTTCTTGGCAGCTTAATGTTTGAGCAGCATGGCTTCCATCTTCCTTGTCTTGGCTGCCTTCTTTAGTTTCTCCAATGCCACCAGTCCAACTTGCCTTACCCTTTCTCTGGACAACCCTATGCTGAAAATCTCAGAGCAAACACTGCATTTTGTCAGCTTACTTAGAATGTCATTTACATTTTGCTCAGATAATTTCCTTTGACTTACCGTTTGCTTATTTCCTCCCATGTCAGACATTCGTTATCCAAACCGTGGTAAAGACGAATGATCTCTCTTTCTCGGTCGCCAAGCGTCATATTGATGAGTTTGTTTACCTCAGCCTGTCAATATTTTCGAGTGGATTAATTGATCATTCAGCTAGGTAAGCAAACAAACTTTTCGTTCACCAATCTTCATTATCTTGTATATCGATAAAAATGGTATAATCTTTCATTCTCTAAGTCTGTTTTTTTGGTCTGGCTATCAATCAATTTACCTTCAGAATCCACGTGTCCGTGCCATGCCACGGGTCGTTCTCAAGGYGATTATCCGCAATGTACTGCAAAAACAAAATGTTAACAACAAAAACTCAAGGAGAGTGCCAAGAATTTAAGTAAATAAGGTTCTGAAAATTCTGTGAAGTTTGCAGAAAGGGAGTTGCTATTAAGGCTTACACTATGATGAGTTTCGCCAGGAAGACCATTCAATGAAGGGAATGCTTCACGGTCTAAAGAGAACACCTTGCTGATTGCCTAAAAGATATGAGAGGTTAGCTTCTTATTAGGAAAGAAGAGAGCAAATTGGTTATTAAAAATTTTTTATACCTCAGTGGCATTCTTGACTTTCTTTTTGGACATGTTGAGGGATTCTGCAATCCTCTGAGATGAATAGATAAGTGTCAAAGCAATCACAAAGCTCATCTAAATTTGCAGTTGAACTTGTTTTTTCTTCAAGTTCAACAATATTTTGCTCTAGCTGTGGTGTTATGGCAGTTATCCACTTACATCAAGTGATGGAGTGATTCCCTTCTCTTGCAGTCTAACTTTGGCATTGCGAATTAATCCTAATCTCTCGTGCAAATGAGTTGGCARTCTCAGCGTTCTTGAATTCTCAACTAATGCTCTTGAAACACCCTGTCCATGGAGGAACACAATCAACTACTCAGTGCACGAGTTCAGGTGCTTGTGCTAAAAATAATTTGAACCAAATCTCCTYTAGTAGAACTCKAAACTTTCAATTTTGTGTCTAATAAARCCTTGTACTTTGAAAAATATCAAGACCTATTAGAAGCAAAATCGAAAGCTCAGGAATTTTATTCGACACTTTTAAACTTCAAGGATTTATCAAACACAAAATTGAATGTTTAAGACTTATTAGACACAACTCTGAAAGTTTAGGAACTAAACTTGGGATATCAATTTGTTCAAAAGAATTTATATCCTCACCTGGCGTATCCACCAATAAACATAGGTTGAGATTCTGAACCCCTTTGAGGAATCAAACTTTTCGATCCCGCGGAGAAGTCCAATCAAGCCACCCTACATTTAAGCATAAACAAACTCTTCATATTAGGGGGAGAGACTAATAAGTTGTAGAGTTTGCTGCATGGACTGCCATGAGCTCTTCACCTGAACTAAGTCAGCCATTTCAGCCCCCATGTTGTCATATCTTTGTGCAATCGACATTACCAAACGAACGTTGCTCATTGCTAGCTTCTCCTTCGCCAATGAACACTCAATTACTCTCGAACGTAACTCTGTGCGAGAAATCTTAAGCGATATTGCCAGTTGGTCTTCAGAGGGCTCACATCCTAGTCTTTCCTTCAGTCTGGTAGTCATTGTAGATGTTAGGGGCAAAAATGTACAATATGAAGTTCATGATATCATTATTAGTGCAGCAGTTTTGACAATGAATGGAGAAATAAGACTGCATAAAGATATGATAATCTGCTTTCTCACAGCATGCAGGAATGATACTATCTGCTACTTCTCAATTGTAAATCACAGCTAAAGTAATCTATGAGAATCTGAGAAGCATGTGGTAACCTGGTTTTACGCTCCTCCAACGCGAGACCGACTTTAATTTTCTTCGAAAGACGTACGACTTCAGCATGAGAAAGTAGCTCTTCACTCACTAAACCTTTCACATAGCCCTTCAAACGGGTTTGGAGCAGCTCAGGACTGATGGTAGATCTTAGCTGCTTACTGATTTTTGGTTGAACCATAAAACAGTTTTTACTCTGTATCTTCCTCTTMGAGCTCATTCTCCTTTGCCGGGCCGATACACCCGAACAAGTAACAGGTACTTTCTTCTGAGTTCTTCCTCTACTTGCATCAGTCGGCACAGTTTGCTCAAAAGATAGATTCCATTGCTTCTCCAGCATGGACTTCTGCAGCAAAAGAAGAGCCTCCACAGTACATTTGAGATCAATTTCTTCATCTTCCCATTGTGTGGAGTTCTGAAGCCATGGCTCAACAGTTGGGGAAGAGGGAGTATCTACATGTTCCTTCACAGCTTTGATGCATTGTGTGTGTCGATTCGACGATGGGAAGCTCGGGGAAAAGTTAGCCGAACTTTTCGCTATTACCACACTCTTTGTGGGGGAAACTTGGCTTTGCCCCAACCTATGGTCATTGGCATATAAAAGCTTTTCTGGGAAATCAGAATAATAGGATGAAGAATTCAACAGCCTCTTTGCTGCACCAAGCCCAATTATTGCAGCTGTTGCCATCATATGGCTTCTCTTCTTCTTGTGTACAATACTATTATCATCACACGTTTCAGCACAAAATTGACTGAACCAAATCAAASTCCAATTCAATTCGCTTCACCAGCAACAGTGGATCAATGACTTCGAATAACACCTCAAATTTCTTCAAACCAAAAACAGCCCTAAATTCATCAAACAGAGTAGAAAGAGGGTCAAATTCCCACCTGCAATCTACGAACAATTGAAGGAAATAAACCCAACAAGAACATCATGGAAGAACTCATGGCAAACGTAGAAGAATTAGAAAGCAAAAAGAACAAAATTCGAAACACGAAAACGAGCTTACGGGTTGAATTTCTCAACAGTTTGCTACGACCCAACGACCAAATTCAAACACAAACAATAAAGAAGCGAAAACAAACGAACAAAAGCAAGCTTGGAATTACGAAGAAAATTGCTAAAATTGCAGTGCCCAACAAGAAACCATAGAGATTTCCATGGAAGATTGCTTCAATGAAGTACCTGAACTAGAGAAAATTGAGGAAGACAATGTAGAGGAAGGGAGAGAGGCGATGAATCCAAAGAAAGAAGATGGAAGAATGGTTTGTTGCCTCGTATCAGGAACGAATATCAACGATTTTTTTTCTTTTTGTTTTCAAATTTTGTTGCAAATTTCTGGTGGGGTTAATTCGAAATTTCATGGGAAGAAATTTAGAGGAAGTGGGAACGTGGGATCGATGGAAAAATCAGAGATAATGGGAAAAAATTGAGAGGAAAATGTTTAAGCATTGAAGATATGGGAAGCTGAGATTCCATTGGTTGGAATAGATATTGGGTCCAGTTTTGAGTGGTCTGTAAACTTTTATGCAAAATTACACTTTTTTTTTTTGGAGAAATATTTCTGAAAAATATATATATTTTTTTTGTTGTTATAAAAGACAATAAAATTTGGTGAAGTTGGCTGAACCACACAACTAWCCAGAAAGTAAAACAGTTACACTTGGGCACATCTCCCTATTTTTGAAAGAACATAAAAAAAAATATATATATATATTAAAAAAATGTTTAAAAGCACAACCTTAAATCTACTTTCAGTTATTAAACGTAGCTCTGTAAGTATATATCTCCATTAGAATTTCTATCCCACTCTTTTGTGCTAAGACAAAATATAGCTCTAACTAATAAGATATAAATTATATCTCACCAAGTTGAAAGTTCAATTTCTCACACCGGTATATTTGTCGTACACAAAACTTATATATATATATATATATATATATATATATATATATATATATATATATATGTTTTGGATTAAGTTTGGCAAGGCTCTTGAAATATTGAATTTTGAACTTTTGTAGGTAAGATCGTGTTATAAAGTTTACCTGGATGGAAATGATTAGAATAGTTCATTCAATAAAAATTACTATTTTTGAGCATACTCCGAAAGAGTGGAATAGAGAACAAAATATTAYATAGATATAACTCTTCACTAACACGATTGTGTGCAATTTGTGTCCACYATTTTAAGGATATGACTCAGTAGTAATAAATAAGGAGTTGAAATTATGACATTGTAGGATGAAAATAATTTTTTTTTCCATTTAGAGAAAGTAAATGGATGATTATTTTAAGTGCTAGTTCAAATTTTTTTAATTTTAATTTAATTTTATTTAGCAATGTTGGATATAATAAATAATTATTCACTAATAGTTAGCACGAGTGAATTATAATTATAGAGGTAAAGTGACTCTTTATTATAATTATGAATCATACGTGAAAGATCAACTTACCTGTCACGATTATATCACGAGAAAATATAATCTAAATTTTTTTTTGTAAGTGTAGTATAGATTCCAAGTGGAATAACTTTAGTAAAAAAAAAAAAGAGTTTAATTAATTAGAATTAGATCATGGAATCTAAAAAGGTCCCAAATCTACTAGGATTTTACTAGCTCATGGAAACAAGTTATGGTCCATGCCAACAATTTTATTGGAAATGTAATTTGGAAACTTCAAATTGAAAGCCCAAATTGGCCCAAAAATCAATTTGTTCCATGAATTGAATAATGACTTGGAACCAATATTTTATAGTGATGCGAGTCCCAAAAGCCCATTTAAGGAATGGGTTTAGACTGTAACCTTGCCATTCCAAGACAAGGATGGGTTTTCTGAGTTGCTTAGTTTAGCTGGTCTTCGGCCCAGGATGAGATGTGACTTAGGTTAGGTCTATAAGATATCATAGCTTTTAATGTTTTATGATTCACCTCCAAATGATGAAGAGGTAGTTCGATCCTTATGAATAGCAAAAGAGAGGAATTAGATACTGACAAACCCAAATAAGATCGAGAATAAGTTGTGATGCGGATTGGTCATACAATTCAAAATTTCCTAGGAGGTCTTCCTCTAACCTATCTCTAAGCCTATGCCTACTTGAAACTTACACTAGGATTAAATGGAATGACGTGTCCCATGTGAAAGGCTCGGTAGTACGAGTGTGTGCATAGGTTCGATTCGGTTTGACTTTTAGCTAAAATAGAACGATACACACTTCGCGCTCAAAAGCCAACTTATATGTAGCTTCTTTATATGTGGATCTTAACATGTTTGTACATATATTTGTAGACATGTTATCCATTTGTAAAAATAAAATGACAAGAATTTGAACCATTATAGTTGAGACACTAAAATAAATATTTCGAAATTAAGGAACCAAAATAGAATAGAAATAATTTCTCATGCACCATTGAATATGTGTTAAACTTGTACACCATAAATTAAATTAACAAATTACAACTCTAAGATCTATACATATACATATATATTTTCATTTGCAGAGTCATATTGGATGGATTTGCATGGTTTCTTGGTATTTAAAGTGCAGAGGCAATGAATAATGGTGGCTTATGGCTTTCAACTTCAATAGTTTGTTCCATCTTTTTCAACGAGGCATCAAGTTCTGCAACAAATCTTTCCATGGCTGGAGTGGGCAAGCACAGAGGCACCAAAATCCCCTTCTCCCCTTTACTGTTCTTGAATGGTACATAAAAGCTTGCCAGATTGGGGATCGGTCCGACCCCTCCCTTCGCTGGTCCGCCGTAAACAGCCTTCCCCCACCCGAAGTGCACCTCCTCGAACCCGGCTCTTGTCACGTCCGACACAAGGTATGACCCGACCACACTGAAATGAGGCCGCCCTTTGGTCACCATAAGATCTGCCACAGACTTTATGTACTCCTCTGTCACCTCTGCCTTTGCCTTTCGTACGAGTCCCACAGCATAGCCGAGTGGGTTGTGGCAAAGCTTGGCAGCGGTGGTGAGTGCCACTGGGAAGGTAAATGCATTGCCATAATACCCCGATGGCAGAGGAGGGTTGAACTTGGAGCGAGAGTTCACGGTGCAAAGAAGTCGCATTTCCTCCTTTGGATCAGGTGGAAGGGATATGGTACGAAGGCGCCAAAGGTAGGCTGTGAGGACTTCGAAGAAGGAGCAATGGCGGAGGTGAGCAGGCAAAGTTTTACGAATGACAGATATTTTGGATGGGTTGAAGAAGAAGGAGCGGTGAACCATGTCGTTGAATGAGATGATGGTGCCTCTCACGATGGCAACTTCATCGTACTCATGGTGGATGCAAGTCACAGTTGGAGGGTCCCTTGCGTTTAAGAGGGCTCTTTGCCACACTGGAAGGACAGAAGGAGCTCGTTCAGCACGACCCATCTCAGCTACAGCCGTCATGAATTGGACGAGTCCAAAGGCATCACTCATCGTATGATTAAGACGAAGTGCAAAGATGAAACCACCGCATTTGAGTCGTGTCACCTGCATAATGAGATCATTCATAATTATATGCACTATATACATATATGATGTTAATGGAATAATTAATTAGCCATACCTGGATGAGTAATAATGGACAATTAAGAATCCCACTCGAGCTTGGAACGTCATAGAGAAGCTCCTCCAAACATGGAAATGGCGGATGAGGAGCATCACCAAACTCTTCTAGAGACACATCTGCATCAGCTTCAATGAACAAAATCCCTTCACCTGTACATTCCACAAACAACTTTCGACCAGGTCCTTCCCTCAACCTGCCTGCAAAAGGATAGTAAAACACCAACATCTCTGCAATTGCCTCCTTTATCACTTTTGCTGGATCTTTCCCTTCCATGCTTGGATTATGTTGATAGAATTGTATTATTGGAATATGAAATCTAAGGCTTTCTTGGTCATCAATGTCAGAAAGTTGCTTAAATTCATGGGGTGTAGGCTTCACTGGAACAACTAGCTCGGGTTGGCACCTTCGTACTTTAAAGACGATAGCGGGAGTGAATAGGGTAGCCATTAGAAATAAATATTTGTGTTCTTTGTGGATGTGGGGAGGAAAGCTACATGCTTGATTTATAGAGAGGGAAAGGTGTGTGAAGTGGGGTTTATTGCTAACAACTAATTAACAACCCACTAAAAGACTTTGGTTTATGTTGGTAGGTTATTTATTTATTATTTTTTTTTTGAAGATGGTGGGTTATTTATTAATTGTGCACACTTCACACATTTTGGTAACAACAATCATATAATATGTTGTCTTTTCTCAATTAAATAATTGTCAATAATCAATCTCGATTATCTTATTCAACACGTTTTATTAATTATTTTTTTAAACGTGAAATATATATTTTTTATTCTTTAATGTTTGATTGTATTTTCACTTTAGTCTGATTATTTAAAAAATTTAAGTTAGAATTAGTGATGTTAAAATAAGTTAAATGATAAATTTACATATATGACATGGGATTTAGTGAATTAATATAAATTTAGGGATAAAATTATGCGGGGATGAAAATGTCAAATTACTCCAAATGTTTAATAAGATAGAAAATATTAATTTTTTCTCTCTTAGATGATCTATGTCTTATTATAAATTTCTGTCAACTCACTGAGAATATCATGTCTAAGTCTATTATCAATCAATTTTAATAGTGACTTTGGTAGTTTCTTACTCCACTATATGAATTTCTAATCTATTTACTTGGGATGTATGTGGTTCAATTTAGGTCTACTATAAAATCAACGGTGATGGACCTAATTAGTAAATTAAAAAGATCACCAAACTAATGATCAAAACCCACAAAATTTGTCCAAACCAAATTAATTGATTTTTTTTTTTGGTTTTATAAATAAATAAATATATATATATATATAAAGCTGAGCAAGCCACTCGATCGAGGACAGACGTTATTGCAAGTCACTTAAAAAAAAAAAGAAACGGAACCATATACGGCAGGTTTCTATAAAATCATGGAGGTTTATTTACAAAAAGAAAAATATAGGAAGTGAGAGGCTTGAGAAATGAGAAGGGTGTAGAGCTTTATCAGCATTTCATTCTCGTATAAATCTTGAGTAGCTATTGTTATATTATAATCTTCACGTCATATAGTAGAACCTGCGGTTACAGATCAGACTATATGTAGTCTCAAAGTTTGGACCAAACCTATATAAATGCTAGTGTTAAAACTGGGTTAATAGATTTCTATCATATCTTGTATTTCCTTTTATTATTACTTATTTGTAACCTACTTCGAGCTCTAAGGAGAAGATTTAGTTAGATATTGTTAGGATAATTCTCGATTATTTTCCCAACAAATATATGGTTCTAGTTGATTGAATCGACTTATTTGTTAGTTATTTTTGGATTTTAACTTCACCATACTCTTTTGGGATTTTTTATTTTCTAGAGCCAGTTGAGCAATGTTTTTGGTTTCTTGTTTTCAATTATTAAGTGGCCGTTTTTTTCTTTTTTGTTTTTGATTTTTGGTTTTTAGTACTTTAAAAAGGGGATTGTTTGGTAATTAATTCAATTTTTGGTTTTTCAAGAACCATTTTGAAATCTTATGTAAATTTCAAAAAAAAGAAAGAAGTATTTTTCAAAAACTGATTTCTATTTTTCAAAATTTAATTTTTTCTTACCGTACTCAACTTTTTTTTCTTTCTCATGTTTATTTCTAACAAATATTTCTTGCTCTAGATTTTTTATCCTAAATTTCTCTCTACAAAATTTATTTTTCTCCCACTAAAAATTTTTATATTTTAAATATTTATTATTATTTCTCTTTCTCCAAAATTTTCATTGTGATCTATTTAACAGATTATTCTCATCTTTCTCTAAAAAGTTAATATTTTTCTCCAACTTTTTCTCCTTCTACAGTTTTGTTTCTTAAAACTTTTTTCTTCTTAATCCATTTTTCCTTTGAAAGTTATATCTTATTTCTGGTTCAATTCTCTTTCACTATAATTTTTATTTATCTTTTTATTTATTCATTTTCTCTAAAAAGTATATTTCGAATATTGTTTTTATCTTTAAATTTTTTCTCACTACCATTTTTCTTTTTCTTTCTAATTTCTTTTTTTTTCTTTAACGTATCTTTTCCTCTCAACTTTAATTTTTTTTCTTTAAAATTTTTCTCGTTTTGTCTTTAAATTTTCTTTCACTAATTTTATTTTTCTCCCCAAAATTTATCTTTAAAAAATTTATTTTCATCCGTCTAAACTTGTATTTTGTGTCTCTACATTAGGGATGACAAAAATTCTCTAGGGTCGGGTCCTTGCTCGATGAATAGGAAATTCATGTCCCAAACCCGTTCCGATTCTATTTTTTAATAATTAATATATTTTTTTATTAACATATTTACTAAATTGTGAATAAAATATTAAATATTTTTTTAAAACTAATTATTTATAATAGTAAATAATAATTCTAAAAATAGTTCATATATATTTATTACACTTTTTATAAAATTCTAAAAATAATTAAAATTAATTACAAAACCAGTAATTTTTCCAGCAAATATCCCTGTCCCAAAATAACGATTATTTAAAATGGTTCTGGATTCCCGAACTGAAGAACGAGGTGGAGATGGTGGACTATAAATTTTGAGCACATCTTCAATTCCACCCCACATTATTGTCATCTCTACTCTAGATTGAATCTTCTCTCTAATATATATTTCCAATTTTCTAACTTTTTAAAAATAGAAAACCAAAAATGGTTATCAAACATATTTTATTTTGGTTTTCTAATATTTGGTTTTCTGTTTTTTTAGGAAAAAAACAAAATCAGTGACCAAACATATATATGATTTTTGTTTATTAAAAACAGAAAACTATAAATAAAAAATAAGAAAACCAAAAATCAAAAACCAAAAAGAGAGGTTAATCATCTGGGCCCTAAGAACTCTAAGCATTTAAGAACTATTTATGTTTCTGATTTCTCAATTTTTTAGACGTTCAAAAAATTGTATAGAAATTTTGGAAATAATTTTTTTTTTCTAGTTCAGATTTCCAACAAAATAAAATTTTCCTCTCTTTTCAACAAAAATTAAATAAATAACATGAAATAGTTACCAAATACAATTATGTTTTTCTTTGTCAAAAAAAGAGGGGAAACAAAAAAAAAATTGGAAACATTACCAAACAAAGTTCTCGTTTTCTATTTGTTGTTTCTAATTTTTTTAGAAGTAGTAATAAGAATACATTGGGTAACAATTTCTGTTTCTTGTTTCTTGCAAAAATAAAATAAAATAAAAATAAAACATATATGATAATTCTTTCTTGTTTATTGTTTTTAAGTTTTTTTAGTACAACAACTTGTGGGGCAGAGATTTGAACCCACAACTTCTTTTACCAAAGATATATGACTTAACTTAGGTTGACTCTTATTTTATTTTATTTTTAGTTGAAATAAAATTGTGTAGAGATAATAATATTTCGAAGAATATTATTCATTAGAGAAAATAGTACAATATAAATTTATTTAATATAAAAGTATAAATTATTCAATAGCTTAAATAAAGAATAGGTATTCAAAATATTTTTAATTTAATAAATATGATATATATCTTTTGTTTAAGAAAATATAAATTTTTAGTACAACCGGAGGGTGGGAGAACACAAGGAAATACTTACATCTGAATGTAAGTTTTAATATATAAATCTCAATATATACCGTTTATGCAAAAGATGTCCATGAACACCAAAAAGAAAAACAAAAGGAAATGGAAAAGTAGTTTTTGTAGCTTTTAAAATTTGACTCTTTTAAGGAAACATTTCTCAAAATCACAAGAAATAGTATGAGTTACAAAATTAAGTCTGTTTCTCGAAAAAAAAATGAAAAACGAGAACTAAAAATATAAGAACGTTTCTCAACAATCCTAACTTGCCCACATTTAAAACTCGTTTGGTAAAGTTTCTATTTCTTGTTTTTGTTTCTTCATTTTTAACGAAAAAAATGAATTGCATGACTCCAATGCCAAAGAATTCAAGTGATATCTTTTGTCGTTTCCAAAATTTCTATATAATTTTGTGAATGTTTTCAAAAATGAGAAACAAAAAACATATTTAGTTCGAAAATGCTTAAAATTTCTTAAGAAAATTGGAAACGTTACCAAACGAGCCATGAACTACCCACATCTCCCGTGAAAATTTCTGTTTTTTTCTTTCACTACCTACACTCCAACCTTACCTACTAGAAAGAGAGAAAAAATTATCAACTAATTTAAAATTTTTTATCACTAATTAAAGAGCGAATATAAATAGGCTTGAAAATTTCCTTAACCACTCGATCAGGAGCAAAAAGTCTCGAATAGACTGAGATATGATTGATTAGAAGTAACATCTAAAAAGTAAAAAAGAAACAAAAGAAAAAATATTCCAAAAGAAAAATTAATATTGTTTAATAGTATATAGGCTGGCTAGTACTGTTTACGGGATTAAATTCAATTTCTTGTATTCTTCTTCTTCTTTTTTTAGTACAACATGCGTGGATGAGGTCGAATTCACAATTTTTTAATTGGAGATATATGTCAATTATCGAGTTATGTTTGTTTTGACTATTTCTCGTATTCACTCTTTATTAAAATTAAGTTTGGTGGTTATATTTTGAATTTCACCCTAGAATGCTTCCACATCTTCATATGTTTGAGTATTCAACAATTCTGTCAAACAAACATAAAAATCTTAGATTCTTATGAAACAAACCGCTCCTAATTAAACAAGAAATTCAAATAACAGACGTGAACCTTGCATATCGACCCTTAATATTTCAACCACATATTTTTAAATGGTGCTCAATTAAAATGTCTCAACTCAACTGCATGGGACTTTTGGGACAAAAAGGTGATGTGACTTGTATTATTGATGTCCTAAAAGACATTTACCGGATGAAACTTTGTATTAATCAGATAATGGCAAGTGATTAGAGGAGGAAAGACCATATGCTCGTAATGGAAAATGATTGATATGATCATATAGGTAAATTTTAGACATAGTACACTTTTTTTCAGTACAACATATTGGGATCATACGAGTAAATTTTAGTCCATAATACTCATTTTTAAAAACCTTAGAGAGAAAATATAGTTGTGCATGAAGTTGTCAATTTTCTCCTGACATTTTTTCCCGCACAAAAAGTCGTTGAGCAAAAATCTATTTCTTGATGAACTATAAATCGTCGGGATAGGTCTAGTTATCCCGACGTTTTTTAAAAACCGTCGAGAGAAATGTAGTTGTGTTTGAAGTTGCCAATTTTCTCCCGGCGTTTTTAAAACAAGGGAGAAGTAGAGTGTTCTCCTGACGTTTTTTTTAAAACCGTCGGTAGAAAATATAGTTGCGTGTGAAGTTGCCAATTTTCTCCAGACGTTTTTCTCGATGCACAAAAAGTTGTCGAGCAAAGATCTATTTCCTGATGAACTATAAATCATCAGGATATGTCTAGTTCTCCCTACGTTTTTAAAAAACGTCAAAATAGGTCTAGTTCTCCCGATGTTTTTTAAAAACCGTCGAGAGAACTATAGTTGCACTTGAAGTTGCCAATTTTCTCCCGATGTTTTTAAAATAAGTTGGGAAAACTAGAGTGTGCTCGACGTTTTTTAAACACCGTCGAAAAAAGTAGACTTTTCTTGACCTTTTGAAAAACATTGGGAAAAATTTACTTACCCTAAAGGAAGTGCAAAAGTTTACCATTAAATTTATTTGATATAAAGGTATAAATTATTAGCTTTAAATAAAGAATAAATTTTCAAAATATTTTTAATTTAAAAAATAAAAAAAAATATTTTTTTTGTTTAATAAAATATAATAGCTTTCAAAATATTTTTAAATATAAAAAGATTAATGTATTGAGTGAGAACTAAACCGTGGCTGCAAAGAGAGATATGGAACACAAGAACATGCTTACACCTGAATGTATGTTTTAGTATATAAATATCAATATATACTATTTATACAAAAGACGTCCCTAAAAATAGAAAAAAAAAGGGAAAAAAAGGAGAAAACAAAATTAATTTTTTTTTAGTTTTAAAAAAATTTGTTATTTAAAAAAAAAAAATTTCTCAAATTTTAGAAACCCCATGCAAATAAGTTTGTTAAAAAAATGACAAATGAGAACAACAAACAATAACATTACAAAATGACCCTAACTTTCACGTTCAACTACCCACATCTTCAGTAAATCTTTTGTTTTTTCTTTTACTACCTCCACTCAACCTTATCTACTAGGAAAAAAAATTATCAACTAATTTAAAATTTTTCGTCACTAATTAAAGATCGAATATAAATAGACTTACTCTATTTCTCGTACTTTCCCTCATTATTAAAATTAGATTTTCGGGTCTCATACTAGAATGTTTAAAAATTTTCATATGTCCGAGTATCCAAAATTCATGTCAAATAAAATTTTAGATTATTAATTACGAAACAGATAACTCCTAATTAAACAAGAAATTAAATAGCAGACGTGAACTTTGCATAACGGCCCCTAATATTTCAACCATGTATTTTTAAATGGTGCACAATCAAAGTGTCTCAACTCAAATATATATATAAGAAATTCAAATAGCGCCAGATGTGAACCTTGCATAACAACGTTTAATATTTCAATCATGTATTTTTAAATGGTGCCCAATCAAAGTGTCTCAACTTGATATATATATATATAAAGCTTTTAGACTATTATAGTGATGAGTAGCACATTAATATTATACCGATGAGTAGTGCATAAGAGTGATGTAACTCGCAGTATTGATGTCCTAAAAGACATTTACGAGATGACATTTTTTAAAATTAGATGATAGCAAGTGATTAGAGGACAAAAGGCCATATGATCCTAATGGAAAATGATCGATGTGATCATATGGCTAAATTTTAGCAAATAGTACACTACAATGCACACTAGCTAACCAAATTTTAATTTAAGAGCAATTTACAAATTAAACCATACTTTGAGATTGATTAAATTAATGATGAAATAACTATGAAACTTCTAATATTGTTATCATACAAAACCAAAGAATTTGACATTGACTTTATGTAATGAGATTAGAAGAAAAAAAAAGGAGACTTTATGTAATGAGATACCAAATTTCTCTCTCCTCTCGCTCTTTTTTCATAAGGTTTTTGGATATCAATAAATTAAAATTTATTAACTTAAAACTAGCTCAGATGATTAGAGATTTATAAATCGAATTGTAGATAATTTTTCTTCCATTATTTGCAACGTCTTAAAAAAATTTAAAATTCATTAATGCCAATTGTTTAGCAAATACACATAATTACACATAATTATGATATTAAATGTTGAACAAGATCATGTCGAAACACCACTCGAAATGTTGCAAGGTCGACGTCCTCTATGGTATCAATGTTGGAGAAAAATACTTGGTACTTTTTAACTCACTCTCAGTTTTCTCCTTTCTTCTATCTTAAAATTTCTCTCGTCGTTAATTTTTCTATAAAATTGAAACTTTGTCATTTCCATTAACGTTAATAATTTGAATAAACTCTCTCCAACGCATGACAGCGACCAGGGTGGACCAATATATATATATATATATGTATAATAAGTAAATATTAATTATGAAGATAAGAATACACATGATAGTGGCAATTTGTGGGACCAATAGACGACGAGGATCACGAGATTATTTGCATCATTGACAAAGCCATGTTCCCACTGTTTGAATGGCCAGCACTAAGCTACACAAAATTGATAGTAGGGTCAAAATTGAGATTTTTTTTTTCAAACTTACAACCATAAATGTTAAGATATCAAATAAGTGAATTAAATTTACCTAATCTATTACAGAGCTAACATAGTTAAGTGATAATTGATATATATCTCCAATCAAGAAATTATAAATTAGAGTTTCTATCCCCACATATTGTACTAAAAAAACTACCTAATCTATTAGCTTAAATTTTTAGGTTTATTGATAATTTATTTATGTTTAATATGGTATTAGAAGGTCCCGTGTTTGAATCTTTAGGTTGCCATATTAAGATATCCGACAAGTGAATTAAATTCACCTAACCATCAACTTTTAAGTTAATGTGTAGTTTTTCCATGTTTAATAGGAACAATGTCAAGTTTTGAAAACTCAAATTTGCCAAAGCAATGCTTAGACAGGTAAGTTAGTCCTTAGGGGACCAAAAATTTATTTCTTTAATCTTGAATATAGGAAAAAGAACGATTCAAAAGGGAAAAAAAAAGAAAAAGAAAAAGAACAATATAGCAAAAAGAATAACGTATTAACTAGCGATTACTAGTTCAACTAGTCTCTGTCCTACATTGCCAATCCTCTTCAATTTTTCTTTATACAACATGTGAGGATGAGAGATCGAACTCACAACCAAATGCCAATTAAAACTGAGCTATGTGTGCTCGCTTCGGCGCACAAACCTGTTCAATTAAGGATTCTATTTGCACAAGTGCTACCGAGTTAAATTTTTAACCTCGGTTATTCTACTAGATAACAAAGAAATTAGAAAAATACTAAGCACCATTAATTTTTCTACAAATAATAGAAAAATAAATACAGAAGATATATATGCTTTTTAATTTTTCAAAAAATTAAAAACTTATCAAATTTTTCGTAGGGGTCAACTCAAAGATATATGTGCCGATGGATAATATTGTTGAATAAATTATTAGTGAGTAACTCGCTTCTTAAAAACAAAAGTATAAAATAAAAGAAATTGACTTTTCAACAATTCCTTAAATACCCACAACTGATTTCATAAATTGAAAATAAAATAAAAATTGGAACCATGTAGACTTTTTAATCAAGAATTTCATATGGGAGAATCTCCGTGAACTACTGAAGAAATAGGTATGTAACTTCTGATATTGTTATTATATATGAGAATTCAAAACAGAAAATTAAATAAAGCAATATTGACATTATTAGTATAATAGCTACGAAACTGCCAAATGCAACTTTAATTAAAAGTATAAAGTAGTCCTTTTTTTGAGTTTGACAATCGTGGAACCAAATTCTTGATAATTACAGGTCTTATCTAGAAGTTAAAAGTAAAATAATAATTATTCATTTTCTATCCTACTGGAATGATTTCTTTTTTAATACAACATATAGATTGATGGATAACTTTGAAACTATATACCAATTATGGTTAAGCCGTAATTATATTCGAATGAGTTGTACTATATGCTCCAAATTAATTAACCCCAAAAATGTATAAATTACAAACTTTCAAAATACAATGCAGGACATATCAAACTTTCTCATAATAATTATTTCTTTGGCTACTATATGAGTTTTTGATGGTGATCACAGAGCAGACGGAATGAACGATGGCTTCTGGTTTTGAACTCCAATGGGTTCTTTTGCCTTCAACAAGGCGTCAAGTTCTCCCACAAATATTTCCATGGCAGGAGCCGGCAAGCACAGAGGCACCAGAATTCCCTCCTCTCCCTTCTTGTTCTTGAATGGTATGTAAAAGCTCGCCACGCCGGGGATTGCGCCGACGCCACCCTTGGCCGGTCCGCCGTATGCAGCCTTCCCCCACCCGAAGTCCACCTCCCCAAACCCGGCTCTTGTCACGTCCGACACAAGGTATGATCTGACCACGGTGAAATGAGGCCGCCCTTTGATTACCATAAGATCCGCTACAGACTTCATATAGTCCTCCGTCACGTCAGCCTTGGCCTTTTGGACAAGTTCCAGAGCATAGCCTAATGGATTAAGGCAAAGCTTGCCAGCGGTAGTGAGCGCCACTGGGAAAGCAAATGCGTTGCCGTAATACCCTGATGGCAACGGAGGATTGAACTTGGAGCGGGAGTTCACGATGCAGAGTACTCGCACTTCCTCCTCCGGATCGGGCTGAAGGGATATGGTGCGAAAGCGCCAGAGGCAAGCTGTGAGGACCTCGAAGGAGGAGCAGTTGCGAAGGTGGGCAGGTAAGGTTTTTCGAATGGCAGATATCTCAGCTGGGCCAAAGAAGAAAGACCGATGAGCCATGTCGTCGAGTGGGATAATGGTGCCTTTGGTGTCAGCAACTTCATCATACTCACGGTGGTGGCAAGTCACTTTCGGTGGGTCCCTCGCATTCAAGAGAGCCCTTTGCCACACTGGAAGAACAGACGGAGCACGGGCGCCACGTGCCATCTCTCCAACAGCCATCATAAATTGAACAAGACCAGCAGCATCACTCATCGTATGATTCAAACGGAGAGCAAAGATGAAACCACCGCACTTGAGTCGTGTCACCTGAATAAGCAACAACGGACAGTCAAGAACCCCACCAGAGTTCGGCACATCATAAAGAAGCTCATCCAAGCACGGGAACGGAGGCTGAAGAGCATCACCAAACTGCTCCAAACTCACATCAGCATTCGCTTCAATAAACAAAACCCCTTCTCCTGTGCACTCCACAAACAACTTCCGCCCAGGCCCTTCCCTCAACCTACCCGCAAAAGGGTAGTAAAAGACCAACGCCTTCGCAATCGCCTCTTTTATCACCTTCGCAGGATCTCTCCCCTCCATGCGCGGATCATATCGATAGAACTGTATCACTGGAATCTGAAACCTAAGACCCTCTTGGTCATCGATATCAGAAAGTTGCTTAAACTCATGAGGTGTAGGCTTCGCAGGAGCAACCAGTTCCGGTTGGCACCTACGTAATTGGAAGACAAGAGGGGCAGCCATGTGTGCAATAAGGAGAGAGATTATAAAAGGGAGAATTGGGTGTGAGTGTGAGTGTTTGGGGGATGGAAGGAGAGGAATTTATAGAGAGATGGTCCATGGGAAAAGAAATGGCAAGTTTACTGTTTACATTGGGAAATTATTTGAGCAAATGAGCAGAAGTTGCAGTGGCAGTTTCTTTATTCTGTCCATTACTAACAGACTTTTCATTTAACTTTGAAAGACAAAGACTTTTGTTTCCATGTGTGGTGGGTCATTTGCCATTTCCATTCACACATTTCCTAACAAACAATTTAAAAGTATCTTTCCTTACTCGAAATGATTAAATTTATTTGCTCCGATGTTAGGTGGGAATGGAAAAGAATATATAAAGTTTACTAATTTAGTTCTTTATTCTAAATTTATTAATTAAAATTAAAATATAACGAGTTTAAATAAGTAATTTAATTTGAAGTTTTATGAAATTCTAAAAAATAGAAACTTTTTTTATGGCTATTGGAAATAAGGTAAGATTTTGAATGGTCATGATAACAAATAATGAAATTCATTTGAAATTTATCGAGATTTATACATTGAGTTTCAAACACACCACATAAATAATGTTGTGTAATTTTCAGTATTTCATGAATAGAGTCAACGTTTTATTTGTAAAGGCAAGATTAGAAATTTCATAGGTGTTTCTTCTGAAGTTTACGGAAGATTTCTCATGAAATAGTCAATGAACATTCAAATTGCAAGTGAACGATTTAAAATATTTTAAGTTTTTTAAACTTATAAGAGTATTAATTAGGTAATGGTAGAGAGTAACTATTATTTGTTTTGAGGGGCTTTTTTTCTTTATAAAGAAAATAAGCTTGTCTGTTATTAGTTTTTCTGAAAATATTATTTACTTCATAAAACCGTGGTTAAATTAATAAAAAAAATTAGGCAAGTATGATTATATTACCTTTTTTTTTTATTTTAACGAATGATGATATTTTTCAAACTATTTTAGTAATTATTAAATATTAATATTGTAGTTTTCTAAAAAACAATAAAAATAATATTATAGTCTTTTCAAACTAGTCACATCTACCCGACACGATTTTCCTGAACTTACTAAATAAAAGGAAAACTGTTTGTCTCCTTAAGAGTGATGATCAAATCTTGTCCTCACCCCATTAAAAAAAAAAATTGATAACTCATAAATTTTAACATTTTTCTCTTGTCAAAAAATTTAATAGTGGAGGACAAGCTTTAAACTTAAATTAGCACAAGTCCAACTGAGTTCGAGCCCACATAAGACTTATGGAACACTCTATAACTAAAGGGGTTAGGTCAACCCTCAGTTGTGGGGAGTAATATTTTCACCGGAACCTAGGAGAACCTCCTAATAAATTGAACACTCACACTCTTTGAAGACCACAAGAACGACTTTCGAACATGTTAGAAGACTTAAAAAATCATAAGACTTGAAGACCCTCTAAAATCTAGCAAATTTTCGAAAGATTTAAAAACTTAAGAAGAATTGGATCCAAATTCAAGAACAAATACTCTCAGAACTGAGATGACGGCATATTAGACAGTTAAACAGCCAACCTAAGTGCGCCACTAACGACACAAATGGAAAGGTTGTCGAGATGACAGCATTTGTGTGGTGAGAGTTAAACAACATGACATATTATTTTGTTAACTTTTGTTTTATATATTTCGGTTAAATCAATGTTTCTTATTCTTTTATCTTGAGAGATCTTTTGAATCTGTTTAATAGCATTTTTGTTTTCAATTCTATTAAGATTTTTTAAGCATTTTGTAATTAATTGTGTTTCTTATTTCTCATGTTACCAAATGAGTCCTTAACTCTCTCTTCCCTCTTCTCCTTTCTATATCTCTCGTCTCTCCTTCCACCGTCGAACAAACATGTTTGCCATAAATAGGTTGGGAATCCAACACCACTGTCTAAGGTTATTAAAATTGAAGAAATTATTTTACATCTTGTGATTTGAAATATTAGAAATTGATTTTACATTTTTTTTAATAAGAAAGGCCTGGAAGAAAAATAATTATATATATATTTTTAATTTGTATGTTTGTTAGAAATGAAAATATAATAAAAAGTTTACTAACACAATATTTCAAACCATAATTTATTAATAAAAAGTTCAAATATGATAAAGTTAAATTGGTAAATTCATCTTAAAATTCCATTAAATCTTACGAAATTTTTGACAATTTTTTGTCCTAATCTTTTTTAAGGTACATATGGAATTTGAATTATTCATTCTTTTATTTGTTCGTTTGTTTTTTTTTTATTTCTTACAAATATTTAAAATATTATTATCATGTCAAACTCAACTCACGATAGATATATTTCAGAAAAAAAAGAAAAGAAAAAAGAAAAAATATTACATTAGTCCATAAACGTTTAACTATATGACATATTGAACAAGATCTAACGTATGTATGACATGATCAATTTATCATTAAAAAATTCAAGATTTTGAAATAATTTGTAATATGAGATTATGATCTTAAAAAATTTGTTATGTATAAATTATTGATCCGGTTCCGCTTACACATCTTGACTATACTATGATATCGAGAGTCAACCTTTGCATATACCAAGTGAAAGATATCAATATCGTTTTAGCAGTTGCAAATATGGTAAAAACATCTAATAAAATTAGCAAAATAGCAATCACACATTTATTTTTTTCAAATATAGCACTTCAAAAAAATAATAATAATAAAAATAAAATAAAATAAAACGAAGGTCTAATTTTAAAATGACAACTTTACCCAAATTATTTACATTTGTAATATATCTATAATATATCTGTAATATATTTGACTATGGATACATGTATGTAATATATATCTGATATACTAATAATATGAGTGTTTAATATACTTGCAATATGTATGTAATATATATATGATATAATACTGATATGAGTATTTGTGCAATATGCATATGACATACATCCGATATACTACTATCAGATATACTACTGATATAAGTGAAAATTTGTGCTATATTTGAAAATTTTTTAAAAACAGATGACATATTTTGAAATATATAAGAGATTTATGTAATTTTTTTAATTTTATATTAATTTATTTAAAATTTATGTCTCTCGTATATGTTAGCTTATTAGACTACATGGGCTAACCTAATTCTTAAGGAGACTACATGAATAAACATTAAGTAATTTTGTTAGATACGTGGATAAAAACAAACTAAATATTACAAATAACTATGTTATATAATAGGAAACTTTCATTATAATCACTACATATGATTTTTTTTACTCTGTCTATGTCTACCTTTTCGTGTTTAAAAAATTGACCCGACACAAAAATAAGAAATTAATAAACATTAGAGGTATTTGCTTATGAAATTAATAAACATAACAGGTATTTTCTTATAAAATCTTCTATAAAATATTTGTTTATGTTGGGGGAGAGAATTTTACTTGGGTTAGATTTAATATTGTTGAATTTGTAAGGTGATTGCAAACAAAGTCTCACATCCACTAAGAAAGGGAAGAAACAAAAATTAATTAATATAATCTACGGAATATATTAATGGTAGAGTCTTGTTTTAAGAGATTTTGCAAATTTTAGTTGTGAAAAATATAAATAAAAATAGAAATAATACCAAGGGTCTAAAAAGAGAGTTTTGAGGAGTTATATTATTTATTATTATTATTTTTTAACGAAGTTTGAAAGGTTTTAAGCATCAAGAAAAGAAGAAACAAAAGTAACAAATTTTGAAACGTATCAAATTAAAACCAAGAGTTCTTTTGTCTATGTTATTAAATATTGAGAACCTCTTTTTCGAGAATGGAGTGTTAGTATCCGACAAATTTATCGTGAAGCCGATTCTTGAATAAATTTACTTGCTAGTCAAACAATGTTTCTTCCCTTAGTTTACGTATTTGTCAATTTATGGGACTGATTGATTATATGAGTTTTCTATCGAGATCTATATTTAATTAAACATTTTTTTCCAGAGAATTATATTTATTATTAGTTTCTTTAAAACAAAATGTATGGTATACATTTGAAATAAAAATTAAAATAAATAGGTAACAATATTATATTGTACACGCCTATACCGTAAATTAACTTTGAATGGCTCAATTATATAAGAACTAAAAAAGACTCGTGTTAGTATATAGAGGAAGTGAGTATACTGACGATTGAGGACACTAAAAACCTTGATTGATAGTGTCGTGGAGTTATTTATCTTAAGTGGAGAGTTCATGAACTCTTTTTGGGTTTATTTTTAATGAATTATTTATAAAAGAAATGCTTTGTAAATTTAACTTTTGAAATTGTTTTATGATGGGTTTTTTAGTTTTAATATAAAATAGTTTGAAAAGGTTTTATTATCCGAAAATCTCGTGCATCTAGCCAAAATAGTTTCAATAATAAATAACTGGTATTTATTTTAAAAGTAGTAAAGCACATGTTATGTCTTTGAAATTTGTCTTATTTTTGGTTCATGAATTTTAACCCGTCTTTTAAAGTTTTTGAAAAATATTTTGCTTTTGGTCTACAAAAACTCTTTAACTTTTTCATTTCAAATCTATAACATTTTTGTTACTATATTAGAATGATGTAATATGGTTTAATTCATTTCAGATCCAGAATAAAATAATGATTAGAGCAATGAACAATGATTGGGTGTCAATATGAGCATAGCTCAGCAGTGGTAATTGACATGTACTCATTTCTTCTAGATTGGAGGTTCGATTTTCCACATTCCAAATTGTTCTACTAAAAAAACAAAGAACACGGAGCAGTCTAATTAATGTTTCCACAACTAAGTCTCTTTGCTAGGGTGTTCATGGGTTGGAGGGATTTTATGGACCAACCCGAATTTTCGGGTTGATCAGATCTGAGAACCGACGAAACCGAGTGTGATGACCAATCCAACCCAATTTTTTGGCTTGGGTCGCCGGGTTACTCTTAGTTTCAGTTTCAAGATAAAAAAAAACGAAAATAAGAGAGAAAATCTAGAAACCCAAACAAATCTAAGATATACAACTCCAATCTTACAATCTCAAACAAATCTTACAATCTCTGAAATACAAGTCCAAACAAATAAATCTTACATTCTCTGGGATACAAGTCCAAACAAATATTACAATCTAA